CGTCTAGCACACCGGCCTCTCACACTGGCACTGCGCTAACTACAAGCTATGTTGAGTTGTTGAGCTGTTTCACAATAATTGCAAAAGTAGTAGCTAACCCTTCAACAATACTTACGGATAAGGCATGCATATCGTTTTCCCATACTGATTTGCTGCGACTGCTCTATTTGCTACATGTACCCTCTCCCTAGCAAAGCACGGCGTAGGCACATACAGCGCAGCGAATGTGCACGCTGCTAGACCATCTGTGTCGTGGCGCGGAGCTGGCACGAATCTGGCACGGGCTGACACGCTCAATTTTTATTGAGGGCAACAGTCAAATATGGTCCTGCCATAGCGGATAATGGCGCTTCTTATAGCATGGTGTACAAAGATAAGCATAATTCTGCAACAGACATAGATCAACTGCGTTTTCCTATCAATATTGATGAACATGAGATAATGAGTCAAAATATGGAGAAAGAGGCGCGCACACGCGAGGATAGTTAGTTATTGGATTTCCTTTGATTGATTTACCTGCTCTGGCAAGCACATACTACATTCTTGCCTTGCTAAGCAAATACCCCACGGCATATCTGTACTCATAGCGCAGCGCGTGTGACCGCTGTTATCGCGGTCATCAGCGGTTCAATGACGCGCGGAGGCGCTCGTTTTGCGGCGCCTTGCGGATAGCTCGCTATAGTCTTGCGAGATACTCCGAGCTATCACGACATAGTCCCTCTATGTTGTGACAACCACGAGGGGTTTACTACGGGCCCTGATCCCGATTAGGGCAGATTGTATATACAGCGGCGGTGCCTTACATCACATCTGTCTATTTTCATTTTCAGTCAATAATCTTTTCTCATTCTCTATTGTGCTCTTGTCAGGCAGTTTAGTTCCCGCTCTTGTTGTGACTTTCGCGGTTACGATCGAACGAATCAAAATTAGAACTGGATTCAAATTTGGATTAAACTTTGGAGTGATACTGGGCTACTTTTGAAAATTTTGGGATTGATAGTAGATTTGAGGGCCGCATATTAACATCTACATCGGGAGGAGAGCTCAAAAGAAAGCTTCTTATCTCGAAGCTCCAGATGTCTGGAAACTCTGGAAATCACGCTGTCTATCCGTCTGTAAGTATTTCTACTACCCTATATTATGAACATATTCAACAGGAGCGAGAAGTTCTACAAGCCACATTTTCCAGCTTTTTGTATGATTTCCCAACGATCCACGACACACCACCTTTCTCCAAAGTCATTTTCTTCCTCCAAAATCAATAAAAACATTTCAAAGTTGTACTGACTACCTAGCCCGACGGTGTCAAACATAATTACGGTAAGAAGCAATGAAGTACGAAGTCACGGAATTGCGATGAACCAGAAGTCAAAAGTTGGGGTATATCAAAACTTTGATACTTCGATAACTCATTTCCCAGCGGGGATGCCAAATGCGGCCTCAAAGAACCTTGAGAGGGAGAGGCTGTCGTGCCGTGTCATCCACGCGTGTAGATCTGTATAGGTGAAGCCTTGGGAGCTTATTCAATACTTATATACAAACGCACCGGATGCACGGAATGGGTCAGTTAGTACCCTATTTGAGCTTCCTATCTGTTTACTGATGTAGTAATTTGTTATTTTATGTCATTAGCATTAACTGTTAGTAATATATTACTTTTCTTCTCCGGACAAGGTAGTAGACTAGGCTGCGTCCTAGGTATTGAGCGGCGAGCGCACTAAGTCCCGGTAAAATCTAGGTGCTTAAAGCCCATTAAGGCCTAAGGCATACCTCCCGCGATTCCGTCAAGTCGCTACATCCCAGCGACTTGGCAATTTGCCAAATGTCTTCAAATTCACTGTCCGCCGGTTTCAAAGGCATAGGGTGGCTTTTGTAAGCTGCCGCAAACGCATTAAGTCTGGCCCAAGCAAAGCGCACTTACGACCAGTTATGAAGAACCGTTGCAGTGCTGGATCACGCAGCGACTGAAATCGCGTGAGGTATGCCTTAGGCCTAAGGCGCCACCTGGTCTACCATGTGACTGAAGCGCACATCGCTTCATTTGCGCTAGTAAATGCAACTACGACCAAATTGCTTGCTTGTTCCATGTGAATCTTAAAAATCTTTAGCCTTTCTCGCTGTTCACATAACGTTATAGGCCTTGGACAGAGTTCGCGCGATTTGATCGTCGCGATTCAATCGCTACTGTTAAGCGTACGAGTTCATTGCATGCCGATCTTCTTGCATTTCGTTGTGATAGTTTTCCAACCCGACTAATCGTGACTAACTATCACAACCGAAATACAAGAAGATCGGCATGCAATGAACTCGTAACACTTGTCTGTAGCGATTGATTCGCGACGATCAAATCGCGTGAACTCTGTCTGAGGCCATAGACAGTGTCAGAATACCTTGAAAGACACACACTGTTCATAGATTGGATACTGTTCAGTGTAGAAATTTGTAAATTCGTAAGCTCCTTGTTTACTCTAGCTGCCACCGACCTGAGAGCTTACGTATGTGCTCGCAAGGAAATCCTGTAGCGCCCTTCGACAAAAGGTGCAGCGCCGGACCTCTCGGACTTGTTCGCTTGTGGGGCCACAAAAGTGCGGCGTTTACAAGTGAAAATGGGATGATTGCGATAACAAAGATAGTTCTGACTAGTAATTTGTTCTTTCACGTAATGATCTGGTTTGGTGAGAAAGACGACTATTGCTTTTGCAAAAAACCCGCAAGTTAGGTCATGAAGCGCTGTAAATGTGAGATAGGGCTTGTTAAAGTCCCTGATAATAGACCCCTTATAATATTCACCCAGTGTTGAAGATTCAACCATGAACGAACAACAAGCAGTCACTTCTCCAAGCGATAGAATAAAATGCACGTCAAATCTGTATTCGTGAGACACGAAATAAAATGAAGACAAAATCATATGATTAACACAGACAATATTTACTTTTATTATTATCGCACACACTCTCAAAATATAATGTCTATATCAACAGGACAAAAAGGACGTAGCAAGTCGTAATCCAGTTTTGGATCCCGTCGAGGACTACAACGCTGAAGGAGAAGGTCAACGGCCGGTCGAAAAAAGATTTGTGTGTGAGAAGAGGCCCAGGTTCAGGGCCCAGCCCAGGGCCCGGCACAGATCGTCTGGAAGCAGGCTGGACTTCGTTTTTGAAGCAAACAGCAAAGGGGATATCGTTTTTGGCAGTCGGAACCGAGCACTAAAAATAAGCGCCATTTAGTCGAACACAAGCTTTTCGGACAGGTTATCACACGATCGACATGCTCTATCGTGTATGGCGAAAGTTGCGCGCGATTTGAAAGCAAGGCTAAAATAAAAAAAATTGCTTGTTTACAGCGCACACAGAAGCATATGACACCAAAATTGAACTGTATGCATAAAAAATCATTTGCGAAAGTATTATGTAAAAAGATTTGGAAACTTATGTGAAGTAATACCTTTTCCAAAATTAGATCGTCTCCACTCAGACAATTTACGGGAGCTTCCCAAAAACAAGCCATTTTGGCAAACTTCCCGAAGAACTCATTTAACACAGAGGTGAATGGAAGCGCAAAAATGGGAGTTTCCCGAAAACTTTGACGTCAGGAGCAACGCAGTTAGGAACTTCCCGAGAATTTCCTCGGGAAGTATCTATAAATGCAAAACTTTTCGAAAGCTTTCAAGAAAAGGGAATTTTCCGAGAGCTTCGCGGTATTTCGTAATAGCGCTACGTTCATTCTAATGACTGAAGCGTCGTAAAAAGTCACAGAGTCATCATCAAACTTATGTAATGGTCAGTGCGATATCTGATTTAGCGCAAGCGGGGTACTTGTAGTGTTTCTTTTCTATCGTCCTCTCGTTTTATTCTGTAAATTGACTGGCTTCTCTCCTTTTCATGTGGCATTTATTCAAATGTATTTGCGTCACTTGTCGCCAAGGGTGAAGTAACCTCTTACTTGTTTTACTTTGCACATCATAATTACCGTCCTCTGTCGCAGTGCGAGGTGTGAAGCTATGACCCAGAGCCAAAACAAGCAAATAGATAATCCGACTATCGAATTACCTTAATATATGTGCGACCATCCATTGTACAGCTCTTTGCGAGTGCGGCTGTTATGATCCACCATGTAATAAGGAAATGACTCCTTTTGACTTTACATTTACTCATGACTTTTACGTATTTTGAAAAAATGTGACTTTATGCTGTTTTGTATATAAAGAGGAAAACATGAATTTAGGCAAGTCTTTTTCAGCGTCTGATTCTCCTGGGTGGAGGACTATATGTCGCCGAAAAAGGGCGGTCCTCGCGGTCATTTGCGACAAATACGCATCCTTGTACATGCGCGGACATGCGTTCCTGCAGGGAATCCGCGCGGGACTCTTCCAAATCCGGCGACATATAGTCCTCCACCTGATTCTCCTTGCTTTCTTTTCTGTATTTCGTAACAGTGCACTTGCGCTATTTCTAGTCCGCATTTGCCAATATTGCTAGTCTGTCGATTTGTTATAGATGGTGAAAGTTTAGCAATTCAAATTGTGTAAATAGGAGTGTTATCTTAGGTAGTATTTAGGCTCTGGTTCCTAGTTGAGTGCTTGTAATTTCGATCTTTTCTCACCCTAATAGTGAAGCAGTTATGTGAAGGTGCTATATGTGCGTGCGCTTCGGGACCGCACCGCGGTTTCCCGCGATTTGATGATTTTTAAACTGCGCTTACGATTCTTTGCATATTAGATTTCTTCCTTCCTCTTTTCTAGCGTGTTTTTTTTTCAGAGCAAGGGCATTAATCGAATATAGTCGCGACGAACAAATAGTTCTAGGCTTCTACTTTGAGGGCACAAGTCGACTTTCAGGTGAGCGTGATTGCCCTTTATTTGACACTAGTTATGCTTCAACTCACTTCTATGATAATCTTCCACCATAAGCTTCAGCCATGATAATCTCAAGAAACACCACATAATTGAGCATAGTTCACCATTCAAGGTAGTTAGGATCAAAAATTAACCAAAGCCAATTATGCTTATCATAGGAACTAAACCTCAACGAGCTTCGCCGGCTACACAGCTCCGAGTAGAGTCAAACACAAGACTGCGCTCGTCATCAATGACCTTCTACGTGTGGTCTTCAAACAGGTTGGCCATTCATGTTCATAATTTTCATAACAAATGAACATGTATAATAAAAAAATCTAGTTAAGTAAATATGAGTGGACTACAGCGAAATTTGTAGGATTGTGGACCAGATCCCTCAGATATATGGAATTTTGCACATGGTATAGTTAGCACACTCAACGGTGCGAAACTAGTCATGTAAGAAGTTCTCATTCAAATCATTTTTTTAGATTTCATAGTGGATGCGCTTAGCCTCGGCAACGAGGATTTGGAGGGATACAGATCGAATGCGATAAGAAGCTTGCGCACTAGGTGCGTTGGTGTTTCGTAAGCAGTCTTTACCTACTTAAATGATTTAGTTTCTGGATCTCCTTGGGTACATCCGATGAAGAAAAAAAAATTAAGAAAGAAAAAAAAAGAAAAAAAGCGAGAAAAAATTCAACTATCTGCTGGAGCAAAAAACTTTCTACTGCGGCCGAATCACCTGTATCGCAGAAGCACTGTAAGTTTTCCAGAATCGTCTTTTACCTCTAAATTCAGTTTTACAGCGAGGATGTCCGTTAATATCGCCTCAACCAAGGAAAACTTGTGCCTTCAAAGGTTCAAACTTAGTCTCAGTTATTTTATACTAAAAATTTGTTTTCCAGAAATACAAGGCTATGCAGGTCGGATTTGGTAGAGAGGACAAGGCAAGTAGGACGAAGTCAGAATGGAAGAGGAAAGCGCTACACAGAAGTGAAATTTGATCCTGTCGCTGTCCTGTTTGATCCTGATGCTTAATTTCTGATCCATCATAAGTCTTCTCATGTAACATCGTGCCTTTGCCTCATTAGTTAAGCATTTTTTCTCATTAATCACTGCTTCATTTACTTACTCCCCGCTTACTTCTATATTCAGTACATGCTTACTTCATATCTCACTGTCAATATGATACTCTTACGCATTACTCGGGCACTATTGTAATTCGATCTTTTAAGAACTTGAAGAAATCCTCCCATTCCCATCCGTCGATATGTTATATTTACTGCTATAACAATAAATGATGGAGCATATCTGTTTTTGCGTATAACTACCACTAAAGTGCGGTTCATAATTATACGAACACCTTGAATTTTGAAAGTTTTTGGACTTTTTGGAAGAAACTCGAAAAGCCGTTGGTACCACGCGATAGAGCACAGCCGAAAACGGTATATGATCCATAAGAATGGAAATCGATGTCAATCTTAGGAGTGTTTTTGCGCCTAATGCGAATTTTGAGCGGTTCATAATTATACGAACACCTCAAACAAAGGTCCATTTTTCATTCAAGATTGCAATCTTTCGAGTCCAAATTTTTTGTAGAGTTACAGTAACAAAGTCTGACATATCTGCTACACACTAAACCCAGTGCAGTTCAAAAAGAGGATCTTTACTTTCTTTTGATTGCTCTAAATGCTTTTGGAGTGATTGCGCTCCAAAAACATCCGTTCTTCTGTAGTTCACGCACTCTAATTAGCTTCCACCAAGGCTATGAGATAAAATAAGCTACTTCGATGGTATTTTGTTTGACGCTTGGAAAATCTATGCGTTTTTCGTGCCGCTTTTCAACCAAGTTCCAACCTCACCCTAAAGTTGGCACGATTTCGAGCCTCAAAACTCAGCTTTTCTCCGGCGCAAACACTTGATATGAAGCAGCTGCATTGTTTGCATGTTGATGTATCCATGTCAAAGTTTTTGGGTTTTTTGTAGAACTGATCTTGAGGCTATGGAGCTACAAACCAAATAAAGATGTAACTGCAATAGTAAAAACAGTGGTTTTAGTGAAATGATGTCTGCGTGGCCGAAACAAACGCTCAACGCTGCTGATTTTTTCTAGCCAAATACATTGTCTTGTGAGCTTCTACATACTATAAGCTTACTTCATTGTAGGGCTTCAGGAGCTGAGTTTAGAGGTTTGAAATCGTGCTAACTCTAGGGTAAGTTTGAAACTTGGTTGAAAAACTGCACGGAAACGCAAAGATTCTCCAAGCGAAAAACAAAGTACCTATCGAAGGAGCTTATTTTATCTCATAACCTTGGCAGAAGCTAATTAGAGTGCGTGAACTACAGAAGAATGGATGTTTTTGGAGCGCAATCACTCCGAAAGCGTTTAGAGCCATCTGGAAAAAAGTAAGGATCCTCTTTTTACACTGCACTGGGTTCAATGTGTCGCGGATGTTTCAGACTTTGTTACTGTAACTCTACAAAAAATTTGGACTCGAAAGATTGCAATCTTGAATGAAAAATGGACCTTTGTTTGAGGTGTTCGTATAATTATGAACCGCTCAAAATTCTTGTTAGGCGCAAAAACACTCCTAAGATTGACATCGATTTCCATTCTTATGGATCATATACCGTTTTCGGCTGTGCTCTATCGCGTGGTAGCAACGGCTTCTTGAGTTTCTTCCAGAAAGTTCGAGAACCTTCAAAATCTGGGGTGTTCGTATAATTATGAACCGCACTTTAGTGCTCCACCCTTACTACTACACTACTTTGAGTAGCTGTACTAAGGGTTGTATCTGTTTTTGCGTATAAGGCTGGGTTCATACTGAGCCGCACAAAGCGGCACAGTTCCCGCACAGCGCTCGAACTGTGCTTGAAGCTGGGCCTGTGCCGGTTTGTGCGGCTCAGTATGAACCCAGCCTAACTACTACTAGTGCTCCACCCTTACTACTACACTACTTTGAGTAGATGTACTAAGGGTGCGGCTTTATGAAGTAGCAGGATTCATCATCAAGATTCGGTACAGTTACGCAGAGCCAATCTGAAGCCCTCAGGAAGTTCTGTAGATAACTTCTCGGGAGATTTCCCACTTTTTGCGAACTCTCCGAGGACTTTTTTGCAAACTTCCGGAGCGCTTCACGGGAACTTCCGCAGGTGACCCGAGGAAAGTTCCCTCACAGACCTCGGGAAGTTCCCATGGATTGTCTGAGCAGACGGCCACCAGACGATCTGAGATCGTCTGGAGCACATATTTTCTTCACTTCACATAAGTTTCGGATCTTTTTAGTATGGATGGATTCCCCGGTCAAAAATCTATCCCTGAGCATGAAGGCATTTTCATATCATTCCCTTCCCTTTGTTTTTTGCCTTCATTTGTTCTCGCTTTGTTAAATATCGCGCTCTAATGCCAAAGTCTTGTGCATGCGTAGCATTCAGCTCCAATTTGGATTTTCACTCTTACCTTACGTCTTTTCTTTCACACTAGTAAATCTTTCTTGTTTTCATCTTCTCCTAAGCAGGTAGGTCAAAGGGGACTTCGTAAAACTTCCGAAAGTTAGGGGAGACTTCGTTTTCAGAAACCCTAGAAACCGACTCGTGCCGGGCCCTGGCCCAGCCTAAAAGTCGTGGAAGGCAAATATTCAAAAAGCAAAGGTGTTCTCGTGAAACATTCTGTGCAGGCACAGCGACCACTGAAATACACGCTTCAGAGATTACACGACTGACATGCTCCACCGTGCTGTTCACAAAGGGCGCGCAATTTGAATGCAAAGTTGAAATAAACAGATGGCTTGTTTACGGCGCAGAGGCAAGCAAATGACATCAAATTTGATGAATATGGATATTCTTTGCAAAAGTAATATGGAAACAGTTTTGAAGAATTATGTGATGTAATACCGGCCCCAGGACAACCGGTTAGTTCTGGAGCATATGTTCACATGTTTGCTTTTTCATCACAGCTACTTCTTCGCTCAATATCTATCCTTGAACAAGAACGATTTCCTATCGTTGCTCCTCCTCTTTGGATTGAAGAAGACTCTCTATAGTAGATACGGCGCTCCAATCTTCTCCATTGCAATGCCGCTTATAGGCTACTGCATGACAGAGGCGCAATACCTTTGGGCGAGAACGCGGCTTTATTAGCTACGAAGCGCATGAGGCGCAGGATATACCGGTGAAGAGAAGCGCGCGCCGAGTTTGCGATCGCTCAACTAAGGGTTCCTTCATATTACGCAGCAGACGCGTCCTGCGGGCGTGCGCCGCTGCAGTCGCAGTGAGATTATACGCTTACGGCAGCACAGCTTTGCCGGTAATGGATGTATCTTCATATTTGCTGCATTTTCATGTTCTCCGAGAGCGTTCCTTCACATCGAGAGAGCGTATATTTTCACTGCAACTACTGCGGCGCACGCCGCAGGACCCGGCGTGCTACGGCAGGCTGCTGCGTCCTGCGGCCTGCGGTGTAGTATGTAGGAACCCTAATACCGCTCTGCAGTAGCCCTTACCTTAAAGTTCAGTTTTTATTTGTGTTAAGAGCTCGTGTCTACTTGTTCTTCTCCTCATCCTCTCTTTCTTTTTTCCCGTTTTCTGCCTATATTCGGGGTTGTGCACTCAATTACAATCAACGTAGTAAGCGCTCTGAAAGATACGTTTCTGCGTCCTGCATTTTCGTCAAAATTTTGTTATTGCGTGTATGCACCGCTATGTATTCAAGCAGACTTCTTGAAATCATAAACAGTCAAAAAGAGATTTCGTTTTCAAATAGGTTAGAATACCATGTGCCGTGCCCTAAGCATGGTGCAGAAGGCAATAGATTTTGGATTTCGCGCCCAAAACAACTGTGCTGCCTAGGTAGAGGAACGAACACCTCAATCAGGCACCGCCTCCGCGGACTGCTTGTCGTTTCGCTCAACTATTGTATATCATGGTAGGACCAGTAATCCGCGGAAGCGGTGCCTCATTAAGATATTCATTCCTCTACCACCTCCTAAGGGTTAATGTTCTGTCCAGTGCACGTCTTGACCCGATATAGTGACGTGGCTCGATAGTAGGCGGCGCTTCAGGTTGCGCTAGTGCACGCTACACCTTTCGCGGGCCAGTTTGATGTTTCAAGTAATCGAGAAATTATCACCTAATTCAGATGTGTTCGGGATGCTCTGCATGGATTAGTACGAGGTTTATTGATAGTTGTGAAAGTAGCGAGGTCAATCATAAACTCATAATGACACGATATACATACACAGTAATTTGATCAAGAAAATGGGGAACAGGTGAAAGACAATGATGGCTTTCTGTATAAATCAGAAAATTCCAGCAGTATACTAGGATATGACAATGTGAAGAAAAAGGCAGGTTATAAGAGAGCAACCGTCGAAGAAAATTGAATTAACGAGATCATGGAATGTTCGCTGATGCGATGAAACATTGAAGAGGAGGGATGTTTCCTTTTGCTTATGGACTAAACAACATTTCTCAGCAACTAATTCAACTGGGTTTCGTAAAATGCAATTCTAAGTCAGTCGAGATTCATATCAAACTTTTCTAAATATTTTTGAAGTTTCTAGTTTTTGAGTCAGTTGACTGTTTATAAGAAAGCGAACTGCGTTTTGGAAAATGCATATATTTTATTGTTTTTGGCATACACCAGCAGATTTGGCCATGACTACAGTACTATCACTACAGTGTCTCTGCGGTGTTGACAACAATTGCGCGTAAAAATAGGGGCGAAAGATGTTCGCGTCGTGGTTGTTTTTTTACGCGCAAGTACTACAAGCACCGTAACGGCATTATGTTAGCCTCATTGGACTATGGCCTTCATCGGAAATGGTAAAGGAATTTCATCTATCATGACCCTCCACTCAGTTTCAAACACAACAACGGAACAATTGAGCACGCAGTAAATTGTGAAAGTTTACGTTCAAAATATGGTATGGAATGATATCCTAAAATTATGAAATCAGTAATAATCCAGCTCCAGCAGTGACAATGCTAAATTTAGCGAACAAATGAATCAAATTATGAATATGACTAGTATGGATAATAACGATGTACATGAGGATGCGATGTCATTGCAAATATATTATCTATGCTATAAATAAACCTAATGTAGAGATTGTAATATTTTTACGTCAAATATGTCGGCATAGTGGAGAAATCGGCTACAAAACGCTCCTTCTGCTTGACATTCTTCGACTTCAGATGATTTGCCAAAGCATGGAACACCACCATCTGATGACGGAGGTGATACGCAAGCACGGACCCTGCAAGAAAAAAACTGAGAATATTGGGAGTTTGAGGCTCAAATTGTCAGTTTTCCATAAAACTGGCCCCTCACTTCTCACAAAGACAAGTATAGTCTCATCGCAGACAAAGGCGGATGCTCATGTAAGCGAACACGCGTGCGCGGCGCGCAAGAGGGTACCGGGCTCGAGTATCTGGGCTTCGATCGCCGCGTTCTGCACAACCACTCCCCTTCGCGCAAAATTATACTTTAGCTTACCTCGTTCTCGAACCTAGTCCACAGTTGCCAACACAACTTGACCATTCATTCCATGCGGACCATTCACCATCCACTGACTCTGTAAGATAACAGATGTCGGAAACATTTATGCAGAGTTGGAAGAGACGCAGCAATCAAAAACATGCAAGCTCAAGAGTCCTCTGGAGTGACATAATATACGATAACTTTCCTTACAAGAAGTAATGTAGTTCAGCCATGAAGCTTATCAATCAGGGTTTTTTAAAAAAATTCAATCAATAAAGCTTGGTTAAATTGGCTCCCATCTTTCGAAAATACGTCGCTGAGTTTTTAATTGTGCAAAAGAATTTCTTTCCTATGGTGACAACTCTAAGAAAATTTTACCTTACGAAAATTGTTAATTCTGCAGAAACAATTAAGCGCTATCAAAGATCTCCAGATACAATGTCGGTAGAAAGTTATTTAAAGGTAATCCTACTTTCTCCTATCCTCCTTAAAACATTCTGCAACTATCGTAAGGTATCGGTCATATCTCGCGTCATTTGACGTGCTAGCGCCGTGCTAGTCATGTTCCATGTGGATTCTGATGCGGCGCTGGCACGACGCTGGCACATGAGAATTCCGGATGCAGCCTTCCGGATGTTACACAAAGTGCGCAGTCCCATACTTTGTGTAAGCAAAACTCGGCATATTCGTATCAACTTGGAAAAAGCTATGCGCCTATACATTTTAGATCACGGTTAGTTTACTAACGAGTTGCAAAATTGCGAAGTTGTGGCAACGAAGTTTGGAGGTTTTGGTAGAGGGTATGACCGTTGCCCATGGATTTTCTAGCATATTTTAACAGTTCCTGCGGTTCAACCATTTAAATTCAGACAGCAAAATCAAGTCGAAGAAGATGTTCCTAAGTTATCACGTAGAAGAAAATTTTTGTTTTCACTGTAACGTTGCATCAACCTACTAATTATATTTCCGGCACTGAAATTATACGCACTTTCACAAAATCACATTTGTTTAGAGATCTGTAGCATTCTGCTTTCAGTATACAAGCGGCTCCTGTTCACTCTAAACGCGAGCAATCACAGGCCTGTTGCAGCGCATATGCTTTGCTAAGCGGTCGCTTTTTCTTTAACTCTGTTATAGGGCCCTGCATGATCGCGAGAGTCGGACGTGCGTACGGCCACTGCGCCGCGCACGTCCGATGTCCCTGAGGCAGGTGCCAGACTTATCCTATTCAACCGGTTCGTCCGCTTCACTCATTCGCTATTGGTCAAGTCAATGCACTGACCAATAGCAAAGGGGGTGAACAGAATGAATCTGTTGAACAGGGCAAGTTTGGCACCTATCTGAGTCGCAGGACGGACATCAAACGTGCGCGGCGCAATGGCCGTATGCACGTCCGACTCTCACGATCATGCAAGCCCCTATAGCTGATGTCCCATCCCTTACATGATAGAAATGGCCATGCGGGACCTTGTGACATGTTCGCGTTTAAAGCAGTCAGCGGCATATACTCGAAAAATGAGTGGATTTCTGACGAACTCATGCCATTCAGGAGCCTCTCAGTAAAAAGTGAATCTCGGCTTGTCAACTGCAAATCATGCTGGCTGCACAACAGAGAAAATAAACGATCAAATATAACAAGTGCGAACCAGTGCAGGCGTCGGATGCGCAAACAGAAGTCTGATGTGCTAGGCCTCGGCAGATTTTGCCTCCACGTGCCGGAGGCGGGTTATCGCAAGCGCGATTACGCGACTGTAGTGCGAATCCGCAACCGCTCGGGCACTCACTCCATGCCGACCAGCTGCTCCATCCTCCATCAACAGCTGCAAGTGCAAGAACTCAGAAAACACATACCCAAAACCACCCTGGAACGGCTGTGAAGTGACTGGACACGGTACAGTGATTCACTGGATGGTCCAGTAAGAACAAGAGTCAATTCAAGTGTTCAAAGACTATAGGTGCGTTCCTGTCATGCAATTACTGAATGCGTGTAATTTTAATAAAACTTACAGTTGCGACATTTCTCTTCAGCGCAGTGTTGAAGTTCAAAATCGCTTCCAAAACAGGGTTTGCCTCCCTGTGATGGACGAGGACTGGAGCAAAACCTGCAAAGAAAATTTATCATACATTGCTTTCAGTCTTCCTCAGGTACAAAACTAAGTCTTGATGGTTTCCTTATTTAATGTGAAGGCTACTTCCTGGCGTAGGCGCAAAAGCTAGGTGCGCGGACGCGGATTTGGTATATTCAGAGCGCATGGAAAATACGCGCGCCGGATACTCCACGAAAGATTTGCGTTTATTAAGGAACGCGTAAATTGCAACTCAAATGATTACTTACACTATATCAAATGTTTTGCAAACCTCTGTATGATTCGACTAGGGGCCACGCTATCTCTTATATCAAAGATATAAACCAACCTTGTCCGACTCCGATATGCGTTAGTACAGGAATTTCCACATTCACTCCATTCTCCCCAGTTGCTCCATCCTCCATCCACCTTGTTCTCGCAAACGCGAGTGGACGTGCACGGTCTCTGATCAAATGAGTATCCAACACAATACGAACCCCTAAACCATTGGCTTTCCTTCCTGGAAAAATTCTCGAGATCTTCTGTCTGTGCACACCTGTTCGACGGTAGTGGCTCTGAACACATTCGGTTACGGATCTGATGCCCGGAACCTTGACAGTCTTTTGAACACAACGACCATTCCGACCAAGCGGACCATCCTCCAGGAGAAGCCGTGCATGTCTGGAAATTGGTAAAACCATCTAATCTTAACATTCGCAAATTCCGAGTATTCAAGTTGCAATCGCGAGCTTTCCATTTAGCCTTCTGGATGCCCTGAGTCGAAGGCTGTGCTTAAAAATTGAGAAAGTGTTTCTTACGTCGCGGCTTCAAAGATTGCTGGAGGGGCTGGACGAGCGATTCTCGTCAAGTTAGTGCGATTGGCTGCCTGAGCCGATCAGCCAAATACCGCAAAAATGGGTGGAGTTAGTCTCCTGCAGCCAGTCTCTGGTTTTGGCGCGAATCTCTCCTGCAGCCCAAAAAGCAGTTTCGGCCTTGAAAATTGCTGAAGGGGCTGGACGAGCGATTCTCGTCAAGTGAGTCGCGATTGGCTGCCTGAGCCGATCAGCCAATTGCCGCAAAAATGGGACTTGACTTTGCAAACGTAGTCCCGGACTCAGCAGATCCCGAACCATGTAGTCATGGAAAGCTTCCAATCGCAAATTTTCCAAGCCACTACCTTCAGTCGGCAAAAGTGACAAATGTCCTGGTTGACAAGCTCACAACAGCGAACAGAACTGAATCTTACAAGGAGAGGATACTTAGTCGAAAGCACCAATCAAAATGAGATATATATCATCTTAGAGCGCTTGAAACGCTGATTCCAAATCTGCAGTTTCTAGCTGCGGAGCGGTTTTGTAGAAGGAGTTATGAGGGGTGTTTCCTCTGGGGTTGAGGCGCCCTCCACCAGGTCTCCCCTACCTATGAGCACAGTAGAGAAGTACCAACTGGTGGCAACTGACCTAGTGGTAAGTGACGCGCTTGATAAAGAGAGTGTCAAGGTTTTAATCCCCTTCGCATGCTAAATTGAATTTCTAAATGGCTTTAGAGTCCTAAAGCATGAAACTTTTGATGATATTGATACTAATCGAAGTTAAAAGTGTTAAAAAAAACCAAAGTAATATGAGTAATATAATCTTTACTGTAATCTCCATTCAAGTCTGATACTCCTCTACAGTGCTTACAGATAAGGGGAGACCGCTTGAGGGCGCCTAAACCCCAGAGGGCAACACCCCTCATAACTCCCTCTACGAAACCGCTCCGCAGCTAGAAACTGCAGATTTGGAATCAGCGTTTCAAGCGCTTTAAGATGATATATATCTCATCTGGATTGGTGCTTTCGGCTAAGTATTCTCTTCTTGTTAGTCCTGCTGAAAAGCAACAGAGAGTAGCTTTACCAGGGTAAGTCCCTTAACACTTCTTCTGACCAAAAAAAAATGTCGATCTGACATTTTACAAAACCGTGAAGCACACCTTGGAAAGCTGGGATGTCAGAATATTTCGGAATAAATACGTTGTAAGCAACAGACTTTGAACAAATTCGACGGGGTAATTTCTTAGAACTTAGCGCATTCATAGCCTCAAAAATTTTAAAAGGAGTGTTCGATGTTTTGTTCTACATAAATATTTTCAATTCTTGTAGAATTTGGAAAAATTGTGTTGCCAAGTAAAAATGAGTCGCTTGCACCACTTTACAACACATGTACAGTCCGTCCCGCTCTCAATCAGGCCAAGATTGGCACGGCGGGAGTCCGCGTCGCTGGGGTTTTCCGCCTACGACCCGCTTGCGTGTTCTCTCCTCAGACCAAGGCCTGCACCAGTTGGCACGGAGCAAGCTGGATATCGTTTTTGGGACAAAATGCAGAGGAGATATCATTCTTATTTCCGAAAGGACACAAAAATTACGTTTTTTTTGTCGACGTTTCGTTTTTGTTTTTACGTTTAGGGTTTAGGATCAAAGGGGACTTCGTAAAACTTAACGAAAGCCAAGAGGAACGTTGTTATGAAAATACCCTGGTGCCAGCTCGTGCCGGGCCCTGCTTCCGACCCTCCCTCATTTAGTAGAAATTTTCTACTGCAGAATGTACAGCATTTCCCACTGAGAAGTCTCCTCATCACCGTACTCGGATATGTTCTGATGCGTGAAAACTTTAAGTCGTTCTATAATTCTACTACTCGTGCTTGTGTTTGAGTATAAGAGTGACTGACCGCTGGCACACATGGCCTTTGTTCGAGTATGGGACCGGCGCAAAAGCCCTGCACTGCGAGATCAGAGATAAGACAATATCGACGTCTGCTTTCTGTTGCTGTGTAGCAGGAGCATGATGACCACGATGACCAAGGCGACCATGTGGGAGCTACAAATCCATAAAAGTATGAACATAGAAAAAAACACTTCGGGAACGTCAATATCATAGCTTCGATTTTGGCTATCAATTCAGACTGTGTAATGGAACTAACTCCTCAAATAATCTTCCTTCGCGCATTCGACTGTTGCGGAGCACGAACGTGTTTCCACGGATGAGCCTTCACATTGGAAAAGTGGATTCGTCTCCTAAATATCGAGAGGTTATAAAATGTTTGAAAAGAGAATCTAAAAATTTTATTGAGCCTGTTTACTCCTGTTTTTAACAAAGTACTTGGGCAGTAAGTAGCTCAAAAAGACTCATTTCATATAATTTAGAATGCTTCTAACTTGCTACATAAAAAACCATTCATTGTTTCTTTTTCACACTGAAGGTTCTCAAGCAGCTCCACGTTTTTGATATTGTCTAGTGAACCAAAAATCCTATAGGTGCTAGATTTGCATCCGCGCACTTTGGGACCAACCACATTGCTATTGCTGTTCTCAGCTGCGGCGCATCAATCTGGAGCGAGTTCTTGTTGTTGTTGTTTTTTTCTGTGTAAACTTCGCATACCCATCGACTTGCTGGCATCACGGCATCATCATCTTAGTGTCAACACACTTACGATAAGCTTCTATTCGATGGAAAAAGATTGTATTTGATGTTATTTTGCTAAGCACCTTATTCTTGCAAATCTTCCTACAGGCAGTTTTCCTTGTTTGATAGTATGCCAATTCCGCGCTTAAAGGCAGTGTCCAAGCAAAAAGTCGATTTTGAGATTTTGTGCATATTCGGGCCTATTCGCCATGCTGAATCCGATAAACCATAATGGAAAGCGCGAAAACGCTAAAAAAAGGCCCTAACGCAGGAGGGAAATCGCAGGTGGGCGGGGCCGTTCACACCGTGACGTCACTCGCCGGCTTTAGGAGCGATCTTCCCGGTTCCGACTTTATGTCATGCGTTTTGCAGTTGGCTGGTGGTGATGTTAGGGCGACTAGCGGAAGCGAGAAGATCGCTCCCGAAGCTGGGAGAGTGACGTCACGATGTGAACAGCCCCGCCCACCTGCAATTTCCCTCCTCCGTTAGAGCCTTTTTCGCCGTTTTTGCGCTCTCCAGTGTTGATTTTCGGATTCAGCATAGCGAATAGGCCCAGGTAAGCACAAAATCTCGAAATCGACTTTCTGTGTGGACACTGCCTTTAAAGGCAGCGTTCGGGCAAAATTTCGCCTCTCATGTTTTTGTCGTTCTAGGGCCTTTTCGTGGCCCTGATTACAGTTATATTCAAAATGTCCAAAACCCTCAAAAAACCCAATTCCTGGGGACTCTGTTTTGAGGACGCGGGCAAGTTTCAGATTGTTTATCCCCCAGGCTGGCCACCGAGGAGGAGCTGCAACTGCATGGGTGCAGTTGCAATCCATGGTCGATCGATAAGCACACGTCCTCAGGGGGAAGTTTGTGATACGAGGGGCGGTTTGTGATACGTATCACAGGCCCGTATCTACTGTCAGAGGCCACGTCAAAGGATCAGACCAACGCAGATCGGATACTCATGGGGCCCGCTTTACAACTATGTGCTAATCTGGGTGGGTGGATTTTGCCCAAACACTGCCTTCAACACATTCACGACACGGCCGATTTTCCGATTACTGCCTTTCGGACCAGAGTTTTTTTCGCTTCGTCAAACTTACGACCCACCCGTATCGTGCGAAATAGTAGTCTTTTTGGAAAAAATTCAAAACATGTCTCCGAGAAATTCCTCACATGGGTTGTCGAAGGCGCTGATTAACAAAATTTGGTCGTTCTTGGCATCATACGGTAAGGTTACGGTAGTCAGTACGAACCCAACATCATGGACTCTCATGAAAAATTGTGTTTCGGCGTTATTTCAAGTGCTGATCACGATTATAGTGTTCACTACTTTTCACAGTGGGACTACGGTTGCAGGACGGTGGACTGAAACCGTTCAGAAACTGATGTGAGAAGGCGGTATTAGAAATTGAGAGTATCATTTTCGTAATCAGCATGTTACAAAACCTATATATTGTAAGGTTTGAGCTTCCTAGGATGAACAATGCAAAAAATCAATAAAGTCAATAAAATCGGTAATTTTTCGATGGTCTAACATCAGCCTCGTGCCCTCCCCGTATTTCTCGTGCATGTGAATTTGAATTTCAAAAACAACACCACTCTGCGAAAAGAGCTAAAGTATGTGCCTTATCTCCATCTACGGTATACCTATGGTAACTTTACATTACAGTATCCCTAGCCCGGGCCACTCTGGCAGGAGCTTCGCCAAGGTGTCCTCAATCATGTGCCAGAACCCGCAGAATTCCATCGTGAACTGGCAAAGCTAGAGCTTCGGAATCTTACGACCCACCGGTGGGTCGTACTGTCCAAAACGGCAGAACAAGTACGACTCACCGGTGGGTTGTATTGTCGTGAATGTGTTAGAAAACCCGCAGCTTGCTTCGGAATGGTGCACCGCAGCAAGGAATACCATATTTGGAATCAACGTTTGAGGCTGACTCAGAATTTGTATGTCTCTTGCCAAAAGGCCGAGCTAAGTTAGGTAGCTTCTCTTGTTAGTAGGGAATTTGTCTCTGTTTTCGAGTTTTTGCCTTGCTTTTGATCTTGAGTAAATTTAGTCGATCTCAGAACAACTTTACAAATATGAATACACGTACCTGCGACAATGAGCTCTGCAAGCAGTGACGCGTCTTAGTTTGTACTCCTCCATCACCGCATGTTACTGAGCATGCCGACCATGAGCTCCAAGATGACCAGATTTCTTGAATTTCAAAACTTAGGCGACAAAGCGCGTGCTCTAGCAATGTCAGCGTGTAATATAGTGCCCTTGTAGTGATGACAACACTTGCGCGTGAAACCGTGGTTGTTAGGCATCGTTCAAACCGCGCCGGTACCCGATACTTGTGGCTGATATGCACATTTCGCAACGCGCGCAGTATTTCACGCGTGCTTTGAGATTCCAACTTCAAGACATCCCTCTTGCCAAATTTGGCAGATTCCGGCGGTTCAGGAGGGGTTCGGACGGGTTCAGGCGGGTTCGAACGGGTATCGCGGATACGGCGCCTTCTGAACGATGCCTATGCCAAAAGTTTGCGCGCATGATATGACGACAGAGCGCATATTTTCAAATATGCGTTCCATGGCCGATACTCACGCGCAACTGTTGTCGGCACTGCAGGGGCACTACATTAGCCGTATTATCTATGAGAACATTTTTATTATATTACCACTCGGACAAGCCTGCATGTTGCAGTTCAATTTTTCCGTTTCTTGCGGCTGTACACACTTCTCCCCATTACACTGACGTGCCCTGAACAGGTTCACCATAATCTTCACAATGAAACGAACAATCTCAAGCAGCTAGAGAGCAACCAACCTCTTTTTCGTGCCTCCTCCACAGCTATGAGTGCAATCAGTCCATTCACTCCATACTCCCCAAACTTCGGCCTCTACTGGAACTATTCGTCCTCCATGAGCCACTACCTGCAAGAAAGTGGACTGTCTGTATAAGCTCTCGATTTAGCGTTCCTAGAACTGCAAACCAGACTATTTTCAAAATTTTCACATGTTTGGGATTGATTTTGCAAATGACATCGTAATTTTTACAACAGTGGCTCATTCCCTCGTCGCATCAATTCGACCTTTCCCTCATATTTTTCGATCGTAAAACAGCAATCACTCCAAGAATAGCAAGCATTCTATGATGAAGATCCTGTTACTTCTAAATCATTAGAACATACCCTTCGCCTTCCTTTTCCGGTGATTAGCTCGATTTCTGGCTTTCCATTTGAAGTGTCGGCTTCACACGATTGATCGCATGTTTCTTCCATTCGCGGCTCACCTGGACAGTAACATCTTATCCGCTCAACCGCTTCATCCACGTCGCTATTGGTCTATCGCTTATCTGACCAATAGCGAGTATGAAACGGAGCAGCTAACTAACAAGGGGAAACAATACTCGGTGTCCGTGGCCTTTTGAGATGAGATGTATACTATTACACTCATGTTGGAACGCTGATTCCGAATTTGGGTTCCGTTTCTGCTAAACGTTTCTCTGAAAGAAGTTATGAAGGATTTTCGCGTCAAGTTTAGCAACCTATAGGAAATACGATCGTAATCCTAACACAATTGGTACGCTGTGGTGGAGCGGTTATTGCGATAGGCTCACAGATTGATGTAGGTGTAGATTCGAATTCTTTTGTGTGTTTCAGTTTTACACTGCCTCAATCAAGCTTTTTGAAAGTTAGGCATACCCAAGGTAAATGCATGCCTTTAGTTTTCAAACAATGTGGGAAATTGGGAGAAATGTTGACTACTTGCGCTAAAATGTACCCACTGATCGTGATTCAATCACTTTATCATAGGTTTACATCACTGTGTTCAATATGCGTTCATTTCATTTTCATAAGCACCTTTTAGAAAATATATAGGAAACCTCCAAAGATTAAGGGTGCGCATTTACCTCGAGGATGACTAACATTCAGAAAGAAGCTCAATTGAGGCGATGCGAGACTGAAGAACACAAAAGGATTCGACCCTGCACCTGCATCAACTTGTGAAACTATCGTGCTAATTACTACACCATAGCGTACCAGCGGCAGGGCGTTCCGATCGTATTTCCCTCGAGTTGCCAAACTTGGCGCGAAAATCCTACATAACTTCTTTCATAGAAACGATTAGCAGAAATGAAAGTCAGGTTCGGAACCATCGTTTCAAGAAGAGTTTAATGATATAAATTCCATCTCAAAAGGCCACGCCGAGTACCGTTCTCTTGTATGGCGCCTGCATAGGGGTTGCATGCATAGAGCCTGCCACTCTATTCAGTGATGCAGGTCTCTACCGTAAGCTGCAAATCATAATCTGTCTGTGTTCAAGACTCTAGCACGACAATGCTGCCTATGAGAAAACCGCTCATGATTTACAATCTTTGTATTCTATTCCTAGCAGCCATTGTTTCCAAGTACTTTCCCCTCAAAACAAAAAGAGTCAACGCTATACTAGTGTGGCTTCTGCTGGGATAGCAAAAAACTTTCTGTGGCGTCGATCATAACAAAAATAACAAAATGACTGCCATTCGAGTTCATAAAGTCATTTGATGTTGCATAATTTTCGAGATTAGTCAAGTGATGATAATGATTTAAAAAAATCGCTACTTCCCCTAAGTGATAGGTCATTTGAACGCTCATAACACTTACGGACATTACGTGCCTATCTCAATGCAGTGCTAGGCAAAAGTTTGCAACCACTTTGAAATTTTGCTATGTCTTACTCTATTTCGCAAAAAAAAAACGAATCCAGACTTTGATATTACCTGCAAATCATATTGCTTGAAGGCAGCGGCTTGGCAGAATGACAACTTTGGGATATTCATCGTTTTTGGTTCTCCTGGATGAGCCAAGTCCAAGACTGTGCTTTGCTGCTTCAAAAGATATCAGTAACCCGCTTTTCCAGACGTAAACAGTGCTATTTGGGAGGATCGCGTATGCCTGTCCTTTAGAGCACGATTGGCTCGTGGGTGGAGACACCGTACGTACCGTAATCACGAGCCAATCACGCTCTAGATGGCAGGCACACGCGGCCCGTCCAAATTTCACTTTCCACGTCTGGAAAAGCGGGTTATTGCTATCTTTTGAAGCTGTAAAGCACAGTCTTGGACTTACAAGGAAACGATACTCGGTGTCCGCGGCCTTTTGAGATGAGATGTATACCATTACACTCGTCTTGGAACACTGATTCCGAATCTGACTTCTGTTTCTGCTAATCGCTTCAAAGTTGTTATAATGGATTGCGCGGATTCTGGCTGCCCAGTGAAATATGGTCGGAGCGCCACCGCTACCGGTGCACTGTGGTCTAGTGGTTAGTACGTTGGCCTCATGAGTTGATGCAGGTGCAGGTTCAAACCCTTTTGTGTTTTTCAGTTTTGCATTGCCTCAATTAACCTTCTTTCGCATCATCGAGCTAAATGAATGCCCTTACTCTTCAAAAAATGCGGCAATTTGTAAAAAAGATTACTATTTGCCCTAAATTGTATCTAATGATCATAGTTCAAGTAAATTTTCTCGAACAAGCTTAATTAAGGCAATGCAAAAGTAAAAACACAAAAGGATTTGAACGTACACCTGCATCAACTTAAAAGGCTATCGCACTAACCACTGAACCAGAAGGTGGCCGCAGTAGAGGCCGTTCCAATGACCATATTTCCCTTGAGCAGCCAAACTTGGCTCGAAATTCCCCCATAACTTCTTTCAGAGAAACGATTAGCAGAAACGGAAGGCAGATTCGGAATCAGCGTTCGAAGAAGAGTGTTATGGTATGAATCACGTCTCGAAAGGCCACGGACATTGAGTATCGTTCCCTTGTTAGCTCATCCAGGGTAACCGAGAACGATGAATATCCCAAAGTTGTCATTCTGCCGAGCCGCTGCCTTTAAAACTGTGTCAAAAACTTTTGCAGTTCCATGCACACAGAAAATGGCGAAAGCGGCAAAATCGAGGTTCTGTAGCCACTTTCTGCTAAACGTCTAAAAAAGACTTGTCACCTTCCAGTATACATTCCAGTCTGGCAACGGATGCACCCCTATGCTTTGAGATATGCAGTGCAAACACCACTCATCAAACTTCAGAAAAAAGGAGACTATACCGCATACCTGAGCGACAAATGGTGGCGAAACTGGATACATCATTGGGTTGTCGAGAAGTAATCGGCTGGTCAGTGCTCCGAAAGTTGTACAATTTGGTAGCGAATGTGACAAAAAAAAACATTACTTGGCATGCTTCAAAATCAGCATCGATTTGACTCGGATTCGGACATTTCAGCTCAAATCTGAGCTCAGCGGTCTATAGAGTTTTTTAACTTGATGAAAACCCGGCTTTAGCGGAGACAAGCACTAATCCAAGGTCACCCAGCTTCATTGAGAACATAGAGGAGCTGTTGCCAGGGCCGCGAACCCAGTTTTCCAGCTGAAAGGTGCTACTACGGATCTGAGTTGAGGACCTGGTAGATTTTGAAGCATGTTGGTAATGCTTTTTCTGTCACATTCGCAAACCGCCTAAACGTCCAGATTGTACAGCCTTCCCATAAACGGATCAGCCGATGACTTCTCGACAACCCAATGATGTATCCAAATTTTGCAATCATTTGGCGCTCACGCAAATTTGCTGTAAAATCTCCTTTTTGGAGTATGCTGAGTGCTGGTTACACTGCATATCTTAAGGCTTGGAGGTGCATCTGTAGCCCAGATACTGGAAGGTATATTGAAAGATGACAAGTTTTTCAAGGACGTTTAGCGGAAAGTCCGCCATTTTCCCCAGGGCCCCATTCTGTGCGCATGATGCAAATTTTTTTGATATAGTTTTAAGCATGTGATTTGCAGGTAAGATCTAATTAAAATTCGTTGTAGGCGAAACAATGTAAAAGGTAGCAAAATTTCAGAATGGCTGCAAACTTTCGGCCAGCACTGTATATAAATTAGCTCAACTCACAAAAAATAGTTAACATATAATAATGCTATCTTACAATCATAGCATTTAGCAAACACTTCGTACTCCTGAGTTACGATTCATATTTTCAGAAAATGTAAGGTTCAAAATATTCCACACGCATTCAACAATTTTTAAGCAGAAAATTACAAAGGTGCCAACCGTGTATGACACTTCCACAGTCAACAAAAACAGAACTGAATTATTCCAGAATTATAGCTGTAACAAGAAAAGAGTTAAAAATCGCGTATTCACTTGAAAATTGTATTATACTACTATTCCACTTAATAATTTATGAGTATGACTGTTTTCTTTTAGATTAGTTTTGGTTCACTGCAAATGCAAAAATAAAAATGTCACAAAAGACTGGCAAAATTCCAATTAGGTAGATTCTTCAGCATATGTAGTCAAAGCGTCTATTTCAAGAAGCAGTGGCCAAAATAGCTCAACACTTCCGCAGGCACACGAAATTCCTTGTATAATCATATCTTGGACTTTCTTTTTGAGGCAATTGAACGTCTAGAAAAAGCACACAGAAGAAGCCCCAAAGTGTATGTGTGCCAAGTTTGATCCAGATCGGTTCAGAAATAAAGAAGATATTTGTGAATGTCACACCGTGCTCAGGAATAAAGAACTTGTCATTTTCTATTTTCAAATGTTTCAGAATTCCTGTAGATGATTATGCTAGCACACTAAATTCGAAACGATCATCAGTGTTCAAGTAAGTGTACGGTAGCTAAGTACGCGATAAGGTTTTGTATTCGAACTGAAAAAAAGCACTACCTTCACACAGGGCATCAGCGGAGTGCGAAATACAATGTCTTGTCCGAAATCGCTTCAGATCTGGAGAACATGAAGCACATTCGGACCATTCAGACCAATCATCCCACACAGGACAAGGGCCGAGAACGCAACGCCTTTGTCGGACAGAATCTTCTGAGGAGCAAGGACCTGCAATTGTCATTTAAGAGAAGCGCAGAGCAGCACAGACGTCACTTAAAATGGAATACAGGGTGTCCCAAAAGTATGTATGCACTGTTTGATCGTTAATATCTCTCTTCCCAAAAAGTCTTTTGCCTTGCTTCAGGTACCGTTTTGTAGAGCTGGCTTCAAATTAGATTTGCATTATAGAGCGAATCACCCATCTCTCTTCAATACTGTAGGATTACGGTAGAAACTTGAAACATATGGTGTCAATGTGGAAAAAGCTGCCATTTCAAAATTATTCAAAAAAATGTGAAAACTTGTATAATAGGGTTTTTATGGACGCTGAGATCAATACTCAACTATTACAAGATTGCGAACTTTCTAAACGATCTAACCGCACCTTTTAGGAACATTGAAAAAATGGCCGCTACCTCTTACCCGGCATAACTCTTCAATGAAGCATCATAAAAACTTGGGAGCTTTACAAGTAGAATTAACAACTCTGATTAACCTAACGTAAAAGTTTTCAGGCTGTTTTGTTTCCTTTCTGAGGCAAATTATGACCATTCATGGCTCAGAACCCTCTTTGAAGTTTCTACCGTAATCCTACAGTAAAGGAGAAAGATGGACGATTCGCTCTATCTGCAAATCTAAGTTGAAGCAAGCTCTACAAAATGGTGCCTGAAGCAAGGCAAAAGACTTCTTGGGAAGAGAGATATTAACGATCAAACAGTGCATACATACTTTTGGGACACCCTGTAGATGAGGGATTTAGTATATCTGCTGGCTGTATCACAGAAATCCTGCCAAGAAACTGTCTAATGCATTCAAGTTTGTTATGATTAGCAGAGACTAGAGGCAGTCGCATCTGATTGAAGTACCCTATTTTCAGGTGTATAAGCCGCACCCTTTTTGCTCTAAACGCGAGCAGACCCAGGCGTGCCGCCGCGCATATGTCTCGCGAAGCGGTCGCCTTATCGCATACTGCTCTCACTTAACGCGCTCCATGATGACAGTCAGTCTTTTGGCGTGTTCGCCTTTAGAGTGAAAAGGGTGCGGCTTATACACCTGAAAATAGGGTAGTCCCTGCTTGATAGAGGCAGCAGAGGTCAGAGATATGAAAGGGTGCACGATAAGGGAAAGGCAGATGGCGTCCGCAGTCGCGTCCTTTCACCGCGTGCGATAATTCGCCTGCGGCAATACTTTCACTTCTTTCAATAAGTTCGAATAAAAAACCAATCAAAAATTGGAGTAATGAATGAAGCCTTATTATGGAGTAGATGATTGGAGCGAACCTTTTTTGCAAGCCCGCTTCTTCGATTGTAATCCTTCGCCACATGTTTTACTACATTCTGACCATTCACTCCAATCTTCCCATTCCACGTCATTGGATCCTTCTGGGCATGGCTGCAAAGAACATCGTACACTTTCTCTCATTTATAAAAATGCGAACTAACTTGTTCATTGCAAGTCCGTGCTTGTTTGCTGGCCGAGGTGCAAAGATCACCATCGCAGAGTCGTTCACGAATTTGGAAACCAATGCCACATGATACCGAGCAAGGCAGCCAATCGCCCCATTCTCCAGAAGAACAGCGCTGAAAGGTTTTTTGTAGGAGATATCGGGTCACAGCAAAAGTTCTGTTATAATTTAGGATAAATTCAGATAATTTACAAACTCTAGTTTTTTACATTGAAAGAGATGTGCTATATGAACTTATTTTCACTGCAGTTTACGAAGGAACTTCAAATTTTGTTTTATTTGCTTTTATCTTAAATTTTTCTGATTACAAAAATAGATGAGCGTAACGACTGTAGAAGATAAAGTATCGTCGATTCGTTGACTGCACGGACTGCTCAAATGCTGCGGACCAAGCGCGGAGCGGCTGAATTGTCGCGAGGACACGACTTATACAAGGCGAATTTATACTGGGACAAGCTTTACCTCGCGGCGCGTGCTCCGCAGTGATGACCAGTCCGTGCGGTCAACATTTAATTATACTTAACTATGTTTGGCACTGGACAGGGATTTTTTTTTAAATATAAAACTCCGTCATTTCCTGCATTTATAGAAACGCCAAAATTCCTTGTTTCCAAAAAAAAAGATGTGGCAGAAAATAACTGTCTATATAAGAAGGACCTTGTAGCGGGACCTGGTACAATGGTAGCACGCGATTTACCAACAGAAATTTTTCTGCATGCAATTCATAACGAGGTTCAAAGTGTTAAGAGGCCCGACACAGTGGCTTGTAAGCAAGCTGGATATCAGTTTTTGGGGCAAAAAGCAAAGGGGGTATCGTTTTTAAAGCCGAAAAGATATAGGAATTGTGAAGTTTTTTGTCGACGTTTCGTTTCTGAGGGTTTTTTTTATACGTTCAGTTTACGGGGTGTATGTCAAGAGGCGCGATTTTTATTGCCAGATGGACATCAAATTGCACATTTCAAATGCTTAATAATGTTCTAGGGGCCTTTCAAATTTCTGAGAAGTATAGAAGATCGTTGCATGAGCTGTCTGATCTTATCATCTTGAAAAAGATCCAAAACAGAAACATTGGAGGTCAAAAACCGACGAAAATGCAAATAATGGCAATTTCGTGAATATCTCGCTCATTTTTGCAGCAAAAGCCGTAAAACTCAGAAAACGGTAACTTCAAATAGCTAGTAAGCTAAAAGACTTTCTCTGGAATTTTTCGAAAATTTGTGTAGTGCAAAAATGGGCTTTCAAGTTGGTGACAGCCAGAGAAATCGCGCCTCTTGACCGTCTCCCCAGTTTACGGACCAAGGAAACTTCGTAAAATTTTAGAAAAGTCGAGAGAAACTTCTCTTCTGCATTTCCCAAAAGCCACGTCGTGCCGAACCCTGGACTCTATTTCCGAACTTTTCTTATAAATTGTATTTATTATCAACTACAATAGAGGACGTCTTCCTCAACTAGTACAGTATCCAGCACATAACATGTCTTGAGAAAAAACAAAGAGATAGAATTTATGCAGAAAGAAAGAATTTGGTTGCAAATGGATACAGTTATGATTGTTAACGAAAAGATTCCACCCCTCCCTGAGAATTACGTATACAAAACCTGTTGTTCAAACGAAAAAGTTGAATGCAAACGTACCTGTGTGTTACATTGCTCCACCTCAAAGGCGCCACCTTTACATCGACCCGGTTGTGGACAAATTCGTTCCCTTCTTCTATGTCCACCATTGCATGTCTGAGAACAATCGCTCCATTCTGACCATTGTAACCAACAAGCACCCTAGATTGTCTTCGTTTGCTTTTCTCAGAACTCTTCCAGGAATTCTAACCTTGCCAGGATTCCAGCATGGTCGCCTTTCCTCAGTTGCTTCGTCGCAATTCGATGTCAGACAAATTCTTTTACGAATTTGTTCGCCTTGTCCGCACTCGCTATGACAAGAGCTCCAATGACCCCATTCGCTAACTTTCTGACAACGAGGTGGTGGTGGAAAGCAAAACCTTTGCTCTTCAGCTTCACCTAAATCGCGTACATCTCTGTATAATCCAAATCCTCCTACTTGTAACCTCAATTAGAAAAGTTCGAAACCTGAGCTTGATTGCAGTATGGTTTTTTAAGCACACAGTTCAAAGCAAAAGTAGGAATTACATCAGCTTTTCTAGTAAAGAATATTTAGGGAGCCGTTAATATCATAGTACATTAAAGTGGTTGGAATGATTTCGTTTTGATGTTAAATCTTCTTAAAGGCAGCGTACACCCAAAATTTGAGTTACCGAATTTCCAAGATCTTTCTACACCGTGTATATACTGGGCCCAGAAGAAGACCAACTGCGTTGGTCCGGTCTCCCAATGTTGCTTCTGAGCGGAGAAAACCCCCCTCAATTTTCTTTCATGCCGCCCCTTTTCTTTCGCTCCGCCTCCTCCGGACGGATCCATAACAGCGTAAGCTGCAATTGCAGTTGCAGTTGCTGTTGCAACATCTGTTGCATTTGTTTTGGGTGTACGCTGCCTTTAAAAAGTCGATTTGTTGTTATTCGGCTATAATTTTTGGCCTAGAAGCAGTTCCTAAGCTTCTTTCCACATTATCAGCTGCTCAAACAAGATTCTGATTACTCAGTTAAACATTCTAATTTTCGTGTTCATACCATGGTGGACGTACAGATGAGTGATTTGGTAATGGAGCACATACAAGTTTTCGTAGGGAACAACAATATAAATCATGATCTATAATTTGTGCTTCTAAAGTCGAAAACACGTGATTTCTCATTGTTCCTACAAGAAAATCGAGATATCAGATTCTTAGCACCTTTTCTTTCTGCTGCTAACAGCAGAAAGAGAAGGTGCTTTCTGCTTGTAACATTCGAACGGGCCGCCAAAGCAAGTAACTGTTTATTAGCCAACCTAAAATTATTCCCAGGGTTTCCATCATCTCATTCGAGTTTTTTTTTGTTTTGTGAGCCTTTGACATTGGTATCATATTTTTAGAAAATGGCAAGGTCAGTGGGCGCTACAGATATAGACTTGTTAAGGAAATCTTATAGTTCTTTGTCTCACCGAAAATTCAGAAATCTCTTTGTAAAGAAGATTCCTATAAGGTTGACACAAAAAACATAACATCAAATAACTGCACTCTCTGAGCTTAACGTTGAACATAAGGTGATTGAAGGAGTTACATCTCCAGCAAAGGTGGTGTAAGATCGGTTCAAAAAAATATAGGTCTGGAATATCACGAGCAAAAGTTTTGTGTTCTGAAAGGCCTTTGTGGCACATAAACGTGCAGATAAAGAACATGTTTAGAACAAATTCCAAATGTAGCTGCGCAAAATTATTAGCACCTTATCACACAATCCTAACTGGAAGTCACCTACAGGAATGCCAAGCAAAAAAATTCCAGCAACTAGAAAACTCATAGACTGTAGGAGCAAATCGGAGCGAACTGTTGCTTTCATTGCTTATAGTTGAGTAGAAAAATCCCTTTCGGTTTAGGACTGATACCTATAGCAAAAGATGGATTAAGTACGCCTATAAGAGCGGTACATTAATGAATTATCTGAAAAAGTTTCAGAAACATAGCCACAAATATACGGTTCCGCAAAGTATGAAATTTCATTAGCAAATTGAGCGATTCGCATGCTAATTTTAGAAGAGGTGACCTATGTACCCATGGATCTAGTCGAAAAAAAAACCTCAAACTCTGTTCTTGCATACCCTAAGTAGATCGTTCGAAGAGTACATTCAGCGATACCATGAAAGTTTTTTTATTACTTCAATGGTCAGTTTAAAGAGGATTAATAGTATCCGGCTCAAACACGTTCACGAACAGCAAATCTGTTTGCGCTCTACTTAGCAGTATTTCAGCCGAAGAGATTGAAAACGAAGATACAATCGAACCCGAACGAAAATAATCCTCAAATCGTGTATGTAGCGAGAACCGGATTTTTATTGCCTTTAGATCATTTTTTCGGTTATTCATCCGATTTTGAATAAACATTCACATGAATGCAGAGGAGATGGGTTAAAGATGAAAATGATATTATAGACTACGAGTGCTCGATTATAATTTAACATGCAACAGCCATAAACTTAAACGTGAACCACCTACACCACTGATTAATAATTTTTTGTTTTCAACTCTCAAAATCGAGAAGGCAAATTTTCCAGGGATTTAACTACTCAAGCGCGTACTCCTTACAGAAATCGATATTATGAAACCGCGACAGTTGAGTACAATTTATAAAATAGATGCAGACTAACATTTTATAAGCGGGTACGTACGAGCCACATTTGTTTGTTCCTATCCTGGATTTAGCAATGCGCTTTTCTTTAGAGATGTGCTCAATCCGCCCTCCAAGGGAAAAATATGCGGACGAAGTGGAGCTTTTACATGAAATATAAACTGTGTCATACAGCATAGAACGCTGATTCCAAATCTGCCTTCGTTATCTGCTAAGTGTTTCTGGGAAGAGAGTTATGGTTTTTTTAAGCAATAAAAATCATTATTGAGGTTTTTCCGGCGCTCAAAAGAAGCAAATACTAGTATAAGTTAACTAGACTGAAGGTATTAGCTGCTTAAAGGCAGTGTCCGGGCAAGAACTCGATTTTGAGATTTTGTGCTTACCCGGGCCTATTCGCTATGCTGAATCCGAAAATCCACATTGTGGAGCGCGAAAACGACGAAAAAGGGCTCTAACACTGGAGAGAATCAGCAAGTGGGCGGGGTCTTCCACATTGTGAATTCACGCTTCCAGCTTCCATAGCAATTTTCTCGAATCTGTTAGCCGCCCTGACATCACTACCGATCAAGTGCAAACGAATGACTTGAAAGCGGAATCAAAAAGATCGCCCCCGAAGCTGAAAACGTAAGTTCACAGTGGGGAAGACCACGCCCATTTGCTGATTCCCCTCCAGTGTTAGAGCCCTTTTTCGTCGTTTTCGCGCTTTCCAATGTGGATTTTCGGATTCAGCATAGCGCATAGGCCCGGGTAAGCACAGAATCTCAAAATCGAGTTTTTGCCCGGACACTGCCTTTAAAGCATCCTAGCAGTAATCATGACCTTAGCTGAGCTCACAGACTACAGCTCCAAATGATTTCATTGTAGCTGCGCCTTGAAATTTTTACTTTAAAAAACTTCCATAGCTCCCAGAAGCGCATTGCAGATACCGAAAACAGATTTGGAATCAGTGTTCCATGCTCTATGAGAAAGAATATCTTTTATATGGAAACGCCACATAGACCAAGTATCCTTCCCTTGTTAGTTTACGCTTTTGCATGCAACGAAAAGAATATTCAGTCAGGTATTCCATGACGCATACAGAGAACACTCACGAAACCCGATTCCGTAAAATGTCTTCAATTACGTTGCCAAATATCTACGAACCCACCGCGCGCGGATCCCATATGCTTAGGCCGTGGGCATACCTCACGCGATTTCAGTCGGCAAGCGATCTAGCAATTTGCCAGATGTCTTCAAATTCGATACTGGCAGACCCGAAATGCACAGCATATATAACTTTCGTAGGTGATGAAATGCCCTATTTTCGTACATTCAGAAACCCCTTACGACGAGTTTTGAACAATTGCAGTATTGCCAAACTGCGTCGCGACTGTCGCGTGTGGTATGCTCAGGGCCTTGGACAGGTTTGTGGAAACAGTCACGAGCGGCGAGAATTTTTCACGAAGCAGTGCTGCAACGCGACGTCTGCCGATACAAGAACCAGCGCATGTCGAACGTAGACTTTTAATCATTTCCTTTCAAAAGGCATAATGTGTATACATTTGTCATGAATGACCGCACATACCTCTCCCTAGTCTGCTATACCCTTTCTCAACGATTTTAGACTGCTGTCATGTTTTGGTCAGCAGCAAAAGTACAGGGCTCCTAAATTGCAGAGTCGTTTGCCCACGACCGCGTCGCGCCCGGGCATTTTGCCGGCGCCGGCGCCATCGGTCGAGGCGGCGCCACTGATGCCCGGGCGCGACGCGGTCGCGCGACCGCTGGTGCAAACGACTCTGCAATTTAGGAGCCCTGTACGTATTCATCCATTGACTGATCAGCCAAAAAACTGAAGCGATACTTCAACACATTTACAAAAATGCGAGCTAATGGGTCGTACGTATCTAAAGCTCTAACCTCGCAATTTATGACGTAGTTGTGGGGTCTTAGAAATGACTGAATACACTTGGAAGAAGCCCCGTTTAGTTCCTTTTGGGATACAGTACAATCGAAGTAGGGGCGGGGCGTAGGCGAGAAAGTAAAAAATCGATAGAATCTTCGTGGAATGATGTAGATTTTTGGGAGGTACTTTGAACATACCGGGTACAAGAAAATACAGCTCTCATCACTTTTTTGATTGTGAAAAATATGGCGTATCTGTAGTCGTATAATCTTGCCCAAAAAGGAAGCGCTTTTGCTTGAAATGACAAAAGTCTAGAAAATGGAATGATGCTCTTGAATGTGTTGAATACGGTTACTTCAAAAACTTACATCTACAGATCAAATCCTGTTTGAGCTCACATGCTTTTCTTATGGATCATACCCACTCAAGTTTGCATTTTATTTATTGAATTTATATCAAACCCACACCGTGCGTTTTTCCCAGCGACATTTGAAAACACTTGGTGAAAACCGTTTGAAGTAAAGATCAATCACAAAATCGTGACGATGGATTTGACTGCGGTCTTCGCGCTAACAAGAGCAGAAAACAAACAAAAAAGCATCACTTCAACTCCCAGCTCAGTCACTTCCAGTGTCTAGATGCTATCATAGTAAGCAGAAAATCCATTTGTAGAGCCAAGAGTAGAGAGGAAAACCAAGACAGCGGTTGCCGTGAGCGCGGGCGTGTCGCGCGCGGTCGCGCCATCATCACAATTTCTCGAATGCCCTATACCACTCAGGATACCAAAATATTAGCGATTGGAAGTATATAAGCCGTGAAAGGCCACTTTTAGTATGCGAAACACATATTAACTTGCAAATGACACGACTGTTGCTCGTAGACGTACTGGCACATACCAAAGCAGTTCGAATCCGAAGCAGAACTGAGGCAATGACGTTTGCGTAACTGCCGACCGCCTCTGCCGCAGGTTTCGCTGCATCCCGACCATGCCGACCTATAAGTTCATCTTAAAGGTGCTTGAAGCGTCCCGATGAAAGCGTGTGTGCGTGTGCAGAAGAAAGTGCGAAGGAAGAATTTATCAAATCTAACCAGTCACTCCATCCACTCGATGGATTTTGGTTTGGACAATCATCCTCGCTAGCAACAACTGCTTTGTTATTACATCCGAGCCTCTACAAAAGAACTAATCTAACAAAGCTATGATTTTCTGTTGACCAGAAATTAGTAATACAATCTTCGAATAAGTTAGTAATTAACTACCAGGCAGGTTCCGCTAATGCAAAACTGATCAGTGCCACAAGGTGTTCCATCGGGGAATTGGCCCTTATTTCGTATGAGCTCCGAACCGACCAGATGGCACCAGACCCGACATGGTTGCGTGCTGTCTAAACAGAGATTTTTGGTTCTAGAGGGAAAGATAATTGTTATGATAAAAATTTTGGACAATAATCCATGCTCCTAGGACGCGTTCATAGTTACCCTTTGATTCAAGTGGATTGGCGGCTAGAAGGCAAGAGTTCGTGATCTAATTAGAGCTAAGAATGACCAGGGAGCACGTTCGCGGAAGAGACGCAGTCCGCGTCGCGGACGCGAGCGGTCCCCTTCCAGCAGCCAATCTCGTTGAATCAAAGGGTACGAGTGTGCTGGGACAATGCCGCCACCGGACTCCGGGAATAATTCGCGCGCCGCATGGGGTGGTTCTATACTGCTCCCGCCACCGCATGTGGCCCATAGTTCGCGGCGTCCTGTTGCCATCTCAGAGGCAAATATGAGCTGAGAGAAAAATCATGAAAGTATTTGTGTGTCAAATCAACGATCCGCAGACTGGACGCCATTGCGGAGCACGCAACGCTGAACGTACTACATGTTTTGCTCTCGTGAGGTTTGAGACGCGTGCTCCGCCATGTCGACCTCATATGCCAAGCCGTAAAAGGCAGTGCCCCTGCAAAATTTTGTTTTCGCCAGAAGGAATCCATATCTGGGCCAGGCATGAAAATGGCAAAAATGAGCTTTTTCCGAAGCTTTTCATGTCCGCATTCAGTGAAAAATTCGTGTGAGTGTTTTACGGAACGAGGAAGGCGGGACGCGGAAGACTTCCGGCTATTTTCATTAGATGCGGAGCTGGATATCTGCAAAAAAAGCTCATTTTCGCTTTCACGTGCTGAAAAGCACAGATATGGGCTGCTCATGGCGAGAAGGCTCCGTATAGGAGTGGACATCGAAGTTTTGCCGCTGGACGCTGCCTTCAAAGCCAGGATACAACGTGGAAATATTATGATGATAATTTTGTACGATAACCTGAAGCAACTTATAAGTTGAGTCTGCATTAACAATATGACAGAAGATACTAAACGAAATCAATTCGAAATTTTCTTAGCATACCATTTGCAGTTTTATCCATTAAAAATGCGTGAATTGTCAACTCACGCTCAAATCCTTCTCCTGTAAGCTGTCGATCAGGCTGTACAGGATCATGTTTTATGGCTGAGCATATCTTGTTGCCGTACTCTTCTCGTGACATTCCTACAATAACCTAGTAAAATGTAACTTACAAAAGGTGCAGATCAATATAAAAGTGTACAAAATAATTTACTGTAGTTCACCTTGGCAGACGCTGTAGTGTGTATTGCATAGAACTCCACGAATGGCAGCTCCTTCACATGGTAGTCCACCATTATTTGGCCTACAAGATGCATTTTAACATCTCAAATGCAAGAATTCAGCACTTACGCTGGGTTGACACAATCACGATGTTGTGCCTTTACAGATATCGTGCCAGAAATGACACAATGTTGCACTGGACATCTCTCGTCCCTGCTCCATCGTGACCATCCACCATGTACTACCGGCGGTGGATGAGGATCAGGCCATGCTTGACATCTACCTTCGTGACACCACTGAAACAACTATCTATGAAAGGATTTTCTAGAAGAAGTCTGCCTACCTTGTTGTGACCGCAATAACTTCCTTCCAGGGCAGGATGCGCAGTAGAGATCGTGGATCCACTGTTACCACACCACAATATCCGACAAATATCCTGTGATAGAGCAAATTTGTGGATAAAATGAAAATGCTTCAGATTCTCTTAACTAAAAATAATACGCATTCATTTCCGAGTAGTCAATCGCAGAAAACTACCAGAGATTAAGCACGCAACGCAAGGGTACGCTTGTACTAGTACAAGTTGCCATTTGTACGAGTCTGCTTACGCTTTCACCGCGCGTCGCATGCTCCGCAATGTCAGCGGTTTTCGCGGTCGACATTCGGCGATGCCTCAGATTCTGCCCCACGTTTGAATAATAATCGAGACTAAGCGCTACTACTGAACAAAGTAATGCATGGTTCTTGGCGTCGTACAGTCTGTGTCACTTGTGTATACCCTTTCGCGTAGGAACTACGCATGCGCAACGCTAGGGCATTGCGTACCCTCCAATCGATGAGGCCAAGTCGAAAGCGCAACATACGCGCACGAACGTGACGCAAAACTCTGGCGTGCCTAGCGCTTACGGAAAAGGGAGCACATGGTTGACACAGACTGTACAACGTCAAATAGTGTTCCTCTTCTAGGAAGGGGCATTACTGAAACTTGTGCTGTCACTCAAACATCAGAAAATCATGGCAATTAGATGATGAAAGCTTGCTCGATGAGTTTCCGCGTGCAGAAGAAAAATATTTCCTTGGACGCAGGCAGGCTGAATCGGAAATATGTGCGCAGAATTTGGAAAAATTTGCTAAGGTCGTTACAGCCTAGTCAAACGCATGCATTTAGGTGAGACGCATGCGTGCGCGGCGCGCGCGCAGATACACTACTCGAGCCTTTACAGCCACATTTTCTGCCAGTCTTTTACGATTTCAATGCTCAGCCGCATTCTCTGCTTCGCAAAAGTAAACCATCCCTTTACTCCGGGACAAAATCTTATCGGTCTTTGTTTGCCGTTCGCATCTAGACCTTGTAATGGAGATACTACTAAAATCCTATTATTATCATGTCAGCATGACGGGTAATCTAATACTCCAGTAAAAACATGCAAATTGTCTAGAGAAGAAAGAATCAAAGCGCACCTCCATGGATCGTCCAGTTGGTATTTCGACTTTGTAGTCTCGCCCCCAAAAATAGGCACACTGTTGGTCAGCGGTGAATCGTTGTCCCGGAGTTCTAAAGTACAGGTGAAAGTATTTTATCATTGTTATGCATGCATACCTTCCATCCTGCAGATGATTGCGCTCTACTAGTCCAGCAGCGCCATCTCGTAAGCAGTTACCTTTGCCAGACTCGCTAAATATTCTTAATATTGCTAACGCATGTAAACTTCAACGCGCCAAAACAGACGCTAGCGTCCTCGCGCCAAAAATTAGGATGTCATCAGAATCTTGCCTATACAGGTCTGGACACAGTAAGATAAAGTAGCACAGAAAGTGGAGGTGCTTCAAATTCCTTGTTGTATGTATAGTTGGCTGCACGGAATGTACCGAGTTGAAGGCACGCAAGCGCGTCTCATGCGGGCTAATATTGGCATTCGCGCGCATGAGTCATCATAGCCCCCGTACTCGGCAGCCGCGTTGCAGGCACGATCGCGTGCGTTCAGCCTACAGTGACCCGGGCGATTTCGTGCAGTCGACTATACCCGAGTGAGCCCTCGGATCCCGCACGGCTGCGTCGCCTGGAGCTTGGGAAATGTTCGCGCACGTGTTCTCTGGCCATTTTCCTTCCCCAGGCCTAGTTAACGACTAAGCGATCCCTTGAGCAAGGGAGTCGACTATACCCTTTTCCCTTGCTCAAGCATGGGAAAATGATCGGACGACCCGATCGCGGACGCGGCACAGGGTTTACCGAGGCAGCCGCGCGGGACCTCAGCCGCTCGAGTCGGGCTCACTACAAATGAGACGGGTGACTATTGTCGGCATGCTCCACCCCCCCCCCCCCCTCCCCTTGCTGCATAAAAACAAGAACTTACTCTAGCTGTAGCAGAAATGCATTGAACTCCCGGACAGAACACTCTGACCATGTTGTTTTTCCTGCACCGTTGACAGCAGACATCAGGCAGCAGGACTTACTGCACTGGTTCTGCACGCCGTCGTGAACCATGCCCATACTATAAGATTCTTTTAGGATGAGCATGATTAAACTATGTATGTCTTACTTGTGTCCCATCTCATGGGCGAGGACAAACGAACGACCCAAATGGAGCCCTTCGACTAGGGAGCATGCGAATAGTTGATCACACATTCTTGCCACTGGGGCTACGCCAGCAACGGACGCTGTTGTATGATAAATGTCGTAGCTAAATACTTGAAATATGCATTGAAATCGCACAAAAATTTGCTTTATACCCGGTCAATAAAACACCATGGTCCCAATGCCCAGCATCGGTGAGATCTGTTCCAGGGTTGATGTGAGCCTGATGGCGACAAAAGGCATCCAGTAAGCTTTGTGCTTGTCCGTTTTTATGGACGAAAGTAGCCAGATTACTCTAAGAAATTTTTAAAATTATATTACCAAAGAATGGAAACAGAAGAATAACCAATGCCAAGAAGAAAAAATATCATATATGAAACATAACAAAATCACACCAACGGAGAGATCAGTAATTTTCAGAGTGATACTACTGGTACCCTGTTGTCATATAGGACACAGGGCATCGCTGCAGCCGTTAGAAGTTTAGGGTTGCAAATTTAGGTATTCAGTCCATTTTTGATGTGGTAAATATATGCTAATTATGTTTTCCCGAGAAGGGAAAACTCTGTAGAGCTGTTGTTCTGAGCAAACAATTATGATTCATGTAATAAACGCCTAGTATTACAACACTTCTCTTGAACTGCGTTTCCCCAGACAAAGCCATGGCATTATGGAGGGTAAGCGATACAAAAATTCTGATATGTAATTACTGGTATGTGATATACATGTATTTCTGGAGAAAGTTCGAATGATTTATAAACGAGCCTCAAAAAGATCCCACGTAATGATTTCGTGTATACGCGCGTATGCACTGGTCAAATGCGTGAGAAACGTCAGTGGGAGTTTCGCCCGAAATGGCTCGGTCGTCAACGTATTGAAAAAAAAAACCACATTACATAGATAATAGCGACAAACAACTCTACGCTTTCACCCAGTACCGGAATATTTCAGAGCGGACCATTCAGCTTTTCGAGTACACTACTGGGCGTGAATGTGCCTAATTTGAACTGTCGCTTGAGCAAGGACTCTATACTCTTAGTTGGTACACGCAAGAACTTTGAAAAAAGTGAAGATTTGCTGCCAACAAGGTTTCTCTTGGGGTATTTACAGGGCTTACCAGTTGCAGTGTCGGGTACATCAGCAACAGGGTCAAGCTTGGGGTGCGGCACGCCACACCTGGGGGGTCGTATTGAGGAGTCAGAATGGGAGGGGGTCGTAGTTGGGTAATCTGATAATAGTGATAACATGATATTCGTATCCTATCCATAATTAGCATGTCAAATAACCCCTGTAGACAAAGTGTCAGCGAATTCTGAAGATTCAAGATACTAGGCTACCTTAATGGGGTGCGGCACACCCGCTTGAAAGCTGCGGCGGCCGCAGCTTTCAAGTGGGTGTGCCGCACCCCATTAACTATATCAAAAAAAAAACAATTTTAGCGGACAGTATTTATATGAATCGATAGCCTAAACCTTGTAGATTCCATAGGACTGTTTGGAGCCTGATTCGTCTTCATAGCTCTGAGTAATATTTGGTGAAAGCACAGCGATCAAAAGCGAAAAATGGGAAAAACGAGATTTTGGTTGGCTTCTAATTCCACAGCTTGGAGGTCTTCTGAAGCGGGATTCCTGAGGTGGACGAAGGAGTAGTGCTTTGTCTTGAGTGCAAAAACGGATATCTAGTTCACCTTTGAAACAAAGTTAACCATGTTGGAATTTGACCATTTCACTTAGGTAGCCTAGTATCTTGAATCTTCAGAATTCGCTCACACTTTGTCTACAAGGGTTAATTGACATGCTAATTATGGATATGTTGCCCATTATGTTTGACAGGGCCTTCAAGTATTGCTATCTTAGGGCCGCATGCACTAACATTTCCGCTGGGGAGGGGATCGCAGCTTCAGAAGAAAGCTTCATATCCTGAACCTCAGGATATCTGGATTTCACGCTGTCTACCTGTCCGTAAGTACTCCCACCATCCTTCACTATGAACATATTGAGCAGAAGCGAGAAGCTGTACAAGCCGCATTTCCCAGCTTTTTGTAGGATCCCCTGATGATCCCTGGGGGATGAACATCTATTCTTCAAAGTCATTTTTCTTTCTCCGAAGTTAACGAAAACCTTCCAAAGTTATACTGAACAGCTAACACAACAATGCTAAGCATGTTGCTGATGAGAACAAATGAATTTTTGAAAAATCGAAATTTTCGGTATACCCCAAACTTCGACCTGTGGATCATCGAAAATTTCATGACTTCAAAACATCATTTGTTCTTATCAGCAACATACTTAGCACTGTTGGGTTAGATAATCTGCACAACTTTGGATGTTTTTCGTTAACTTCGGGGAAAGAAAAATGACTTTGAAGAAAAGCGCCGGGGATCATCAGGAAAAGCTGGAAAATGCGGTTTGTACAGCTTCTCGCTCCTGTTCAACATGTTCATAGTGAAGGATAGTAGGAATACTTACGGATAGGTACACAACGTGAAATCCAAGTATCTGGAGTTTCGAAATATGAAGCTTTCTTTTAAGCTGCGATCCCCTCCCCGCGGCCATGTTAGTGCATGCGGCCCTTAAGTGTTTTGTTCAGGGGGGGGGGGGGTCGTAACCAGCGATCGTGAGCCCTTGCTTGACCCTGATCAGCAACTCTGCTCCCGCGCAAAACTTTGTACCTCTTCCGCGAACATGCTCTCCGATCATTTGCAATCGATTGAGGCTCCGCCTTTACCATGCTCGTGGTGAGGAAGTGATCAGAGAGCTTGTTCGCGAAAGAGGCGCAAAGTCCAGGGAGCGGGAGCGAAGAGCTGGTGCACCCGACACTGCAATTGAAAGCCCTGTAACTTGAGAGTAAATGGTCTCAAATTATCAGAATCGGCTAAACTCACTCATTTGCTATTTTTCACTTCAACTTGTTGGATCTGACTGTAAAAAATGAATAAAAACTCACTGGTTGCGTCTTCCACATCTCGTATCTTACAATGACAATTTCAAGATTTGGTGAGAGTGAAGGTTGTTGATACAAGACGTGTACGTTGTTTATCAATGCTAATGAAAAGTCTAACAAATGTTGCTCGGCATCCTGAATGTATTCCCTGGAACACGTAAGTACACAACAGTCAACTTGCGTCGAAAATTAAAATTTGGCGCTCACCTCTGAAAGTGTTCAAATAGCTGAGAATCAAGAAAAAGCCCGATTTCCAGTGTGATAGGATCCATGTTCGGAAAAACAAACGCTGAGTCCAATTTCGCCGATGATGGTATTGTGTAATTGAGAGAGAGGATTTCCGCTGAAGCTGATACAATACCATTTAGATTCTTGAGATCCAGAAAGCATAAAAACAATAAAAAGCCACAATATTAAAAGGTGAAGGATTTGTCGTTCATACTTCTACTTTGTAGGAAAATTTCATCTTCACACCATCTTCTTCTTACAATTTGACACAAATTACTCGAAGGTTCAAGTTACGAAGTCAGTCAATCATCGGTTTGACTGACATGTTTACATACATTGCAGACTAAATGGGTACGTAGTTTTCTTACGTGTCTATTGACTGGGAGGTAGCGACTAACTTATTATCCAAGCGGCAGCTCATATGGATGATTAGCGGCCGAGAAGTTCAGCTCCAAACTCCGGCCCAGACCGTGATTTCCACGAATACCGCTCGGAAGAGTACGGTATGGGCCGGGATTAGGTGTTGTACTTCTCGGCCACGAATGGACCACTGCCGCTGCCGCTTGGACAAGGGCTTGAAGGTACCGTCCACCCCAAGTTGACGGTATTGAGCCTTTGGCAGCGTATGATAGTAGGGCCTCCTATTAAGCCAATGCCAGTCGCGGTGCAAAATGTCACTTCGGAAGCGAGAAAATCGCTTCGGAATAACGAAGATGCACGAAGAAGAGAAAACCCAGACGGCACGCCCTTCCCATCCATACCCGCCCATACGTGCGCGCCCAACTAATCACCGTTCCGGAAATCCGGCCTGCGGACTCTCCTGAACGGGAATTGTTGGAGTTTTCGCGGATTCTCGACTTCATATTCGGAATCAGGAACATGAGAAGGCCCCGGAACAATCAAAACATGGAAGTCGAGAATATGGGTGGACGGTGCCTTGAACAGAAGTCTTCCAGTCAGTATTTACAAAAGAAATATAAACATACATATTTGGCTTAGCCCCTTAACCACATAAGTCCAATACATTATTTTAGAGTGGCGAAAAAGATTCCAAACAAAAAATATTTGGTTTGTTTACTAGACCACAGATAATTTTGCAGAATAAAACTTACACGAAAATGGAGCATCTTCATTATCGCTTGTGTCGCAAAATGGTTCATGAATCTCATTGAGTTTGATAATCTCTTCTTCAAGATTGTATTCCGATTTTGTTAGTAAGCTTGGAGATCGTTTGAAAACAAAATGCTGGTGGGGCTGAAACAAGCTATAAACTTCCAAACTGAACAAAGCAAACACCTGGGTAGTACATTTTGGTGCTGAACCCGCTTTGGTACGGACTGTAAGACTAGAAAGTGATCGCTCATTACTAAAGTTCCAACTAGAGATTTACAATCTGAAATTGCCACCGGCATTTGTCCATGCGATGATACAGTACCCTGGAAGGACTATTTTGATGGAAATCACTATGAAAGAGTTCACGTTTTGAAATAATCTGACCTGAAAGTGGCAGTCATGGTTAAGGTCCAAACCCTTCTTTTCAGTGACTTCACTACCGTTCCGAGTGACCATCACCTCAAATAGCCTCATTTTAGAATAAAATATGAATTTACACGTCATTGCTCACAATATTAGGGCTAACGAGTCGATTGTTTGGCCTCAAATCTAGCACATAATTATCGCCCCATGCAGAGAAAATCATGCGTAATCCACCGTCCTCTTTTCGATACCTTTGCGGTTTAATCATCTCATAGTCAGGAACCTAAAATCAATTATCTCAGCAATTTCTTTGAGTAAATAAGCTTGAGAATCTGTTACCTCATGGACCTCGTCAACACCGAACACATGCTTCAACTCCCGTTTCGTTAGTTTGTGATGAAAACTCTGAATATTCATGATAGTAGATTAGAACAGATCTTAAAAAATTCATTCAAGAATGCTCAAGTAATCCCAACTGTAGACTTTTTCCCTTCTGTTTAACTTAAGTCAATTTTAGTACAAAAGCTGGAAATTTTATCTTGAACTAGAAAAAGAAAGTGACCACTTGATAGGGATATCTGATCCGTCAATTTATCTTATTAACCGAAAAGAGTAGATCACAAAACTCGAAATAAAGGTAAAATAATGAGTTGACAGACCTTTTACCATTTCTAGCGACGAAGTTAGAAAAACTAAATTTAAATATTTGTTTCTGTGCGCTGTTCTTGCCGCCTTATGACAGCGGTAATTTTGTTCTGAAAATTGCTAGAAAGCGCAAATCTTTGCTCTCCAAATCAAATCATTTCATACGGACTCAATAATTTTGAAGGAGCATTCGGATTTTGAATTTTGAAGCAAAATTTCTTTTGCCTAATAAATGACTTCTTTTAGAAAATTGATCGAAATTCTTCATTTTGCAGTCGAACTGTGCTTTGTATTGGTTAATGGTCAAATATTATAAAAAATGCACTCCAGTACTTTGTTTGAACAGTCGAATGTTTTACACTGAACAAAAAACCAAGCCTATCATCAAATCATGAACTGTGCATTACCAAAGTAGAAAGAAACGTTGTGCTTTTCAAAACCCGTTTTCATCAGAACTTCAACAACACAAATCAAATTGGTTCTAATGGCGCGCAATTTTCGTACCAAATTTACTAAATAAAGTTTTGTTAGGACTTTGAAATTCTTGAATATGAAGAAGACAAAAGCGAATAACGAGGTCACCAGAAATGGGACCTAAAATTTGCCGAAATCATGAAAACAACTTCTGAAGCTCTCAAGAAACAGTTCCTGTTGCAAACTTATATGATTGTTAGACCACCAATGTATAGAAGATATGAAGCACAGAATTTGTTCGTAAACATTACGATTCGGTCCGTAGAATAGAATGTGAAGCTTTGAAATATACGAGAAATGATACGATGCAAATATTGAATTGATAGCTATATCTGACTATGGTGTAAACATGGTACGATGACTGAGAACATACATATACCACTTACATTACATACATATACATATGATAAGAATTTGCGAAGTGCCCACAAAAAACACATTTAAAAAATTTCTGCTTGAACAGCTCCGAGTAAGAAAACAGGTAGTAGACATCGGAGAAAAACACTGAGAACAAGAAATCGAGATCAATCTCCAATTTATTTACAATGCATTTGGAATCTTTTCGAGCAACGAATAAAAAAATTCAACATTTAAAAAGTAATTATTTATTTGTTTTTGCTTAAGGTGAGGCTTACTACACTAATCAAAATGTGAAATTCCTTGAAATTCAATTTCTAACAAGAAAATAGGATGCAGGAGTACTGTAAGATAACGTAACCCTACCTTACTAGCCTAGTGATCAAAACAAATATCATTTTCATTAATTATTCATTCAGGTTATCCATTCCCAGTAGTGCATCAAGAAACTACAAAACAAATATCAGTTAATCATCCATTCAAGTTATCCATTCCCAGTAGTGCATCAAGAAACTATCGCAAAAAGGACTAATTATGGATCCAAAATTCAAAAAAATTGGAAAAACTCAGTTTAGAAAAATCAATACTCTCTAAGTAGAGTCATTGATTTCTGCAAAGACAAAGATGAAAGTAATCTGGGCAAGTTCACTGTAACTCAAATTTCCGCTCTTTCACAAGTATTGCTTTAAGATGTTGGTTATTGAGAATTTTGAAAAATAAAAGTGATTGCAATGGAAAATCCTGTACGATAACTTTCTAAACTGATCTGGCTATATCTGATCACATCATAATTTCACTCCTGATGATTTTGTCCAAGTTTTTGTCACTGTATACAAATGAGGTTTAAGAAAAACCAGTTTTTCCTAAGCAGAACAATGTAGTATTGGTTGTTCTAACATGCACGATATATCCATGGATTCAGGTTTGGACTCGATAGACGCTTTTTCTGTTTTCCTAGTCGTTGCACGGTTTCTTACAACCAAGAGAATACACAGTCATATGAAATTGTTCTATATAATATCACTGTTCTTCATTGCACTTCTGACGGTGTAGATAAAGTAGGTAAAAGTAAAAATTCAGGAAAGGAAACAAAATACAATCGAGCAAATGTATAAACCGCAAACCGAAAAAGCGTCGATGATGTATAAGGAATAGGAAATCTGTCAGAAAAATAATTGTTGAGACGATATGAAGCCTATAGGTACATTCAGAGCTCAATCAAAAGTCTTCACTCCCTTTTTTAGTTTCTTGGAGTTATCATTGCAGTCAGCGAAAACGAATATAAATCATACAGAAGTTAAGGCGCTAAAGCATTTCCATTAAAAAGGCAGAAGATTGTACAATCGAAATCGTGACTGAAGAAACAAACTTTTTAGTGATCTAATCTAAACCTGAGTGTCCGCATCCGACTGGAATAGTTTTCTAGGCAGATGTGATAAATTCCGCTTTCTTTCTTAAAGCTTGGAAAACATCAAGATTTCTCTTCCAATTCTTATTATCACAATTTCAAGTTTTTAAATTCATTCGTCTTTACACGGAGATCTCAAGGTTTGAAAGATTCGTTTACTTGAAAATCTCTTCAATAATGTGGAAAGAAACAATTGCATTTAGAGAGCTCATCAAGTTCTCGAGGTGCCAATCTAGTCCCATTTGGAATTGTATAAAAAACTGGTGAAGGAAGCTGTTGAAAGCTCTTTCTTAGCTAGTCAAAGTCAAAAATTGTCTTCGAAACGATTATTAGCATGATTGGCTTGAAAATTGCAAATTTTCATTTTTCAATACTTTCCTCCGCCTGGCAAACGAGATCTTTCCACTTGACCACTTCAAGAGGGTAACCAATCAGATAGACTTTTCAAAAGGACAACACTCAGAAGAGCACCCAAGACCACAATTTTGAAAAATCCTTTTTCATTTAAGTGCTCTTTTAGTTCTCTAGCAGCCGAAAAATCCTTCAAAATGTTCTTTCATCCATAACGGAGTGCTAGCACTTAGTTTAGCCAATAAAGAGTCAAGAGAAGTGCTAGTACATTGCGATATAAACACTTTGAAACTTGCAAGATGACTTCGACGTTTATGTTTCTGGGTTTCTGGCCAGTTTCCAAAGCATAACAACACTCAAACGCTTTTGATGGGGAAACTTGGGGAGGCAAATCGAGTGCTTTGACCAGTTTTATCAAAACATCCCCCTTCAAACACACAGCGGCATACCCAATGTAATGATATGTGAACCAGTTGAGGCCTGTAAAACGAATGCTTCATCCGATTGATAGCGACTTTACGGGGTTTCAGCTTATTTTCTACGACCACCGACGGAACTCAGATTCGAGATACTGGTAGTTTTACACCCTCATTTGAATTCGCGCCATTAACGAGTCATAGCATTTTGAGGAAAACTTGTCTGCGCAAAGAGTCAAAGCAAGCCTCGTGCTTTGCGGCTGTATCCTACAAAGCCGAACTTTTCGAAACTTGTGATCGATATTACTACATATAATGCAGGTCTGAATTACGCTGTAACATGTCAAGATTGGGAAAATAATGCAAAAAATATGATTGACAAGAAATTAGCAGATTGTTGATTTGAACTCCATTAAGTTGTAACATTCGTCGAAAATATCAAGGTTGAGATCTGCGCATTGAAGCAAGTCTACTGAAGTAAGAAATTTCTACTAAAAAGAAGTAGGAAATGGCAGGCTCTGTATGACAAGACTGCGACACTGAATAAAATTGTGAAACTGAGCTCGTACATTTTCCGTACAGAAAAAAAGCAAAATGATTTATGAGAGGAAACTGGGGAAAGATATTGCAAAAATCTGTTGTTTGAATATGATGTGCATGGCACAGACCAAGATTCATCGGAATAAATAAGTGTGTCTAAAAAAAGAAAAAGTGGCTTCATGTACCTCCGATATTTCTCTAGATGAAAAAGGCAAGAAGCAAGGATGACAAATTCTAAGTCAAAAAAATTGGGAAATAATCAAGTTGTTCTATGTACTCACTAGTAATGGCAGCTTTTAAGAGCCAGATTTGACCTACCTCTATGGCTGTAAATAATAGAAGCAGCACGAAACAGGAGCTTATTTGAGCCATGCATTCAGTGATTTTGTTCGAGTCATGCGAGTTCCACGAGGCGGTGCTAAACCTTATTGCTATAACATGAATTGGCTGTACATCTCTGCGAGAAGACGAGAATTGGATGAAAGAACACATGGAGATTGGGAGTGGGAAAGTGAGAATGTAAGATCCATTCTGGGAATGGGGAAGTTAGATGTTTAAGATTTTAATTTGAGAAAAAAAGTTGATATGCCCAGGATATGAAGCGATTGGCATAAGAAGGTGAAAAGTGAGAACTTGAGAACGTTTTGGACGATAAGCGCAAACTGGATCGGTATTGCCTGGCCAAATGGCACAGCGCCTTAGCCAGTGGTCTTAGATAGGATATTCGCAAAGCCAGTATAACCAGATTTGAATAGGCGCTGACTAAGATGAACCAGCACTTGGATCGACGACAATCTGGATATTACGCGCCCGCTCGACTATCGCTACTAAAAGGCAAGCCGCCGTCGCTTCTGAGCATCTTATACACCTCTAATCATCGTTTCCCGGTTACAAAACTCGTTCATATAATATTGCTTTGGTAGTTCGGACTGGAATCTGCATTTCTGGCTGTGAATTGGTGTTAGATTCGTGGCAAAACTATTTTTGAGGTTTATATGGTGCATTAACTGGTATGCGCGAGTATTAGGTTGATGCACAATTTTGCGCCAAGAAATAGAAAAATTCGTTCTAAATTCGTCCTAGTCAATTAACAGTTCACACACTATGCTCTTTCCTACGTATACCAAAAATAGTATCTTTGTATATTTTAGAATGAATATGACAAAATGAATAAGTCGATTTGAAGAAAATCGAAATTCATAATTATTCGCGGAGACATCTAATCACTACCAACTTCTCTTGATAAAAAAGAGTAGGTCATAAAGCCAAGACCAAATAATAAATTTCAGTAAAAGTCTCAGCAATTTTAGCGATGAGGGCGTCATTGTCAATTTCTTTTGAATTTATCACTTGCACAAAAATGCGAATTTATGACCTTGTGGTCTAAAAATAAAAAAACACCATTTTTCAATATTCCCTTCAAAACAAATTTTTCATTCATCTACTTTGATAGTATTAGAATCCAGAAAAGTCTGAACAACTTATAAATTCAAAAAGTTTTCAATAATTATACAAAACCGTTTGCATAGCACTATACGCGCCACAAGCAGAGGCTTACAAAAGGACGCAATGTTGACACTTTTTAGGCTCTGTCTCTCTCCCAATCGGGAAGAACAGCCCGATTGCTATCGGCGTGAATAACGGCATGTTTTGGTTGAAATCACCGATTCAATTGATCTTACAGAAACTAGTTCAGCCAGATGAGCTGCCATGACTGTGTGCTACGGGAATCTTCCCAATAGCCTTTGGGAAATCCCAATTTTGGGGTGAAATCTGTTAGAAAATACTTGATGAGTAAATTAGCAGCTTGTGCTGCTGAAGTAAGCTTGTTCTATGGTTGAAAACAAACGCGAGCCGTGGGGGAGATCGAAGAGGTACAGTGAGAGTGAGAGTGGATTGAGGTCAGCGCTATTACCATTCGCAACTGGATTCACTTCAAAAAGGGCAAATCTGCCGAAAAATCAGAAAAAAACGGGCTTTCTTGCTTAGTCGAGTGTGTATTAATGAAAGCACTTAGCTTAGGACTTTGAAGGTTTCAAGCTAATTAGTTGCGCGCCTGAAAAATTCATCTTTATCAAAATGCAAAAGTTAAATGCTCTCTCCTAATTCTCTCCACCTCTATATAATAAATACAAATGGCACTTTTCAACAGTTTTTCCTTTAGATAACTCGTGGCATAAAGCCAAATGAAACCGAGCTTCTAATCACAGTAGTGGACTGAATGTAAACATTCGCATTTTTCCTTGGTCTAACTTGCTTTAAGCAATCAATCCATCTTAATATGATTAAAAACTTTGATCATAGACTTTGAACATTCATGAGTCGCTTTATCTCAGAAATTTTTCCAAAAAGCTTTTCCTATTTCATTCGAATTTCAAATGCTAAAGTTTTATAAAAGGTTTTTCTTCCAAATTTGCTAAATAAATGATCCTGCTGTTCTCTGAATTTGGAAATCTACTTTAGCTCTTGGATACAACTCTATCAATATTTTATTTATTCTGTTTCGATTCTTTTCTGTACTAACCATATTCGTTGAGCGCATCGATGAGTGCATCAAATAAAGAAATAAATAAATCTAGGAAATAGAACGACGAATCTAGACGGCAATTGGCTGCTTTGCTTTATCCTATGTGTATGTGAGCGAAAGAAATTTTTATATTCGAAATTATAGACTCTTTTCAAAAGTTCAACATTGAGCCACCAAAGAGAACGGTATTTTTTGAGGTCATTCGTTCGCCCGGACAGCCGTTTTCGCGCGGATTTTTAGGAGCCTAAAGTAAACCTTAGCAGAACACTTTCAAAACTTCGAAAAAAATGAAGCACAGAATAAAACATGTAGCGGTGAATGTCGTATCCATCGAACATAGATGCGCAATAGAGCGTGCAGCCCCTCGTGCGGAGGTGTCGCCGCTCTGCTGCTGCTGTCATGCCACGATTAGGTTGCGATCCTGAACAGAACAACCAACCAACCAGTCGTTCTAGAACACCACTAAAACACACCTCGAACGGCCGCATAACGATGCTCATCAACAGAAGTAAATTTCCACATTTTAACCTTTCAACTTGTTAAACCGGTCTGACATTATCGGGTGTGAAAAAGGACGAACAAGTAAGTTCATCACGTCCCAATGCATCAAAACCTGCTTGGATTTCGGCCTGTGCCGTCTTTTCAATCGAGAGGAAAAATTTTAATACGAAATCCGTACACATAGTCATTATTAGAGCAACTTTTCCTTGGTTTACGGGTCCAGCATCATTTATGTCAGCAAAAGAAATTCTTTCATAAAATATCAGCTGGCTGATGATAATTTTGATCGCTTTCTCGGCTCCTACAAATGCTGCAGACAAATTTTTGTCCATCGTTTGGTATCTCTGAAGTGAGAATTCGAGAGTAAATTCTGTTTCACTGAAATCATCTCCACTTGAAGGAAAAGCGCGAAGAAGTGAGATCTTTCTCACTGTGCAATATGTTAAACATTCATTTTTTTTAACCAAAAAATACTGCAGATCAAACTTTTTGTTATTATCCGTTAAAAAAACTCAGATGTATAAAACTACCAAACTACTCGTCTCCACCACAGCACGGAAATAATACTTGAAAATGTGTAAATCTATCATAAGTGTCTTTTACTGATAGTAGCGAATCCGTACAGTCTATACATGACAGAAAAAGCTTTGATCTACTTCCCTTCAACAAATCACGAATAAGAAACAACGAGAAAGGCTTTTATAGAAATTTTGACAAAACTATATTATTATTAACCAAACTAATTGAATTTACAAAAGAGATCAAAAATCTAGAAACTGATTAGAAAAAGAAAAAACTACGAGCAACTTTCATGAACCCCACCATTTGATAAAGATGAGCATGAGCATGCCCATTTTTCGATACCATTCATTACCTGAACACCATGTGAACCTGCTCAACACTTGTAATCTATTAGTGCAGAAGAACAGCCTACTAAACGAGTTCTTGAAGGTTGAAAGGTCATCATGAGTACTAAGAAACGAACTGTATGTGACAGAATTCCAAAACTTCATTTGAATGCTGTTAAATGAGGCAAGGTTTCCGGAGCGAAAGTTAAGATTCATTGCGAATTGCATCCATTTAGGTCGCGTTTCTACTGCGAGTAACTTTCCACCATTCTCAATGTTACAAAAACCCTAGAATCTGACCTCAAATTCAATTCTTCTTTGAGCCATGAACTTTGCTCTCGAAAGCAGTGCAGTGTTATGACAGATTCTTTGAGAGTTGACTTTTTACATCTGGCAACAGAAGCGCTTAAATTAGATCATCACAAGCACTTTCGCATCTTGTTTAGATCTGGTCTTGGAAGAATCAGCGCGCTTTCTCTTAGATACCTAATAACTTGAAAGAAGAAACACGGAAGAGTAGATTACAAAAAGCAGCTTTTTTCTAGTGAATACTTTAACCAATGCCCAAGAGAAAACGGATCGAGACTTCTTGGAGCGAGGCTATGTTTCTAGATTCCTAACGGAATAAAAGCTAGTTGAGCAGTGGCTTCCTAAATTTTGGTAGAAGTTTCACATAAAGGAACCTAGTAGAATATTATTCGAAATCACTGAAGCTGCAGCGTGATGTAAGAACAAAAATAGTGCTAGATGCATACCTACATGCAACAATTTATGTTGTACATTCGAAGATCCCATTCTGCCTCAACATGTCTACAATGTACTTTTAGTTCTGCGATGACCTTGCGTAGTTAGAAGATCCAGCCCGCATCAAGTTCTTCCAAATAATTCTGTGTAAAGTATGACTAATTTTAGCAAAGGAAAGCAGATTAAGCGAAAAGAAACTGGACAAAACATCGCAAAAAAAATCGCCCGACATCTAGCCCGTTGTAAAGATGAAGCTGCAAAAAGTACGGTGAGAAAGAGAGAGATTTCGACGAGCGATACGCTTATACAAGGTGTCATAATATGCTAACGATAATGCGCTCATCTTAGCTGATTGATGAGTATCTTCTTTGATGATATCTCTATCTCATTTTATATGATAAAGTGCTAACAAGCTTTGCGATGATCAGATTAGCTTCTCGGAACATCTGATCGGAGAAAGAAGAGACGACGTGTTGAACTAGATGCTCGATTACGCAATGCTTTCACTAGATTTTTTTATAAGTGGCTAAAGACTTTAATCTAATGAATTTGGCGACCAAATTGGTGCCCTTGCGGTACTGGTACATAACATGTGCGCGGAGGAATTGATATGCTTGTGATGACGGCAGTAACTCTGTGAAGTATAGCTATTAAATTATTTTATATCCTCGATTTTGGGGTCCATTATCAATTTCAACACTTAAGTCAGCAGACTAAGAGCACTAGAATATAGCCGCCAATTTAGAATACATAAACTCTTACAAAGAAATGAAATCGATTTTGATTAGCAGTATTCTCCACTCTGAAAAAACACAATTACAGTGTTAGAAGAAAAGCATAACCAATGGAAATTACATCCAAGAATAGAAAGTTTCGCGGCATTTCTGCGCAAAATTATGTGCTACTAGCTGGCTTACCCGGCTCCGCCGTATCCGGACCAAACTTGGCACACATACACTTCGGGCCCCGGCGGGTGTCACAGTCCACTTTTCGTTATCGATCGATGTCGATTTTACCGATTTTTATCGATTTTTTGCAGAGTTCACCTACAGGGCTAGGAGTTGGCACAGGGGGGAAGTGAGCATGGGGATTCCGAATACAATATTAGTTTTCAGAATTATCGATTACTTTTATTGATTTTATCGATTTTTTGTAAATTTTGACATGCGAGGCTGGGATTTTGCACAGGGGGGTAATCGAGCATGCTGATTACGAACACAATATTAGTTTTCAGGATCGTCCATTACTTTTATCGATTTTATCGATTTTTTTGTAAAGTTTGACCTGCGGGGCTGGGAGTTTGCACAGGGGGGGGGGTAATCGAGCATGCAGATTACGAATACAATATTAGTTTTCAAGATCGTCCATTGCTTTTATCGATTTTATCGATTTTTTGAAAATTTGAGCTAGGGGGCTGGAATTTTGCACGGGGGTGTAATCGAGCATGCTGATCACCCCCCTTGGGGATGATCAGCATGCTCGATTACCCCCCTGTGCCAACTCCCAGCCCCCTAGCTCAAACTTTGCAAAAAAATCGATAAAATCGATAAAAGTAATCGATAATCCCGAAAACCAATATTGTATTCGGAATCCCCATGCTCGATTACCCCCCTGTGCCAACTCCCAGCCCCGTAGCTCAAACTTTGCAAAAAAATCGATAAAATCGATAAAAGTAATCGATAATCCTGAAAACCAATATTGTATTCGGAATCCCCATGCTCGATTACCCCCCTGTGCCAACTCCCAGCCCCGTAGCTCAAACTTTGCAAAAAAATCGATAAAATCGATAAAAGTAATCGATAATCCTGAAAACCAATATTGTATTCGGAATCCCCATGCTCGATTACCCCCCTGTGCCAACTCCCAGCCCCGTAGATGAACTCAGCAAAAAAATCGATAAAAATCGATAAAATCGATATCGATCGATGACGAAAAGTAGCCTATGACACCCGCCGGGGCCCGTAGTGTATGTGTGCCAAGTTTGGTCCGGATCGGTTCAGAAATGGAATTTTCTATTCGGAACATACGTACACACAGACAGACAGACAGACATACAGACATACAGACAGACAAACAGACATTCAGCTTTATATATAAGATGAACACCCTCTCCGCCCCCCCCCCCTCCCCGAAAATCCCTTGTGAACGCGATCACAAATAATTATATATTAGGTCGTTCCGAAAGTAATGTCGCTTTTTTCGAATAAACGCCACCATTCATGGAATCAACGTTTTCAAGAGATCTTAGAAGCATTCGATGCAGCATTTCATCCTCTTTCTAACCGTTCTATTTTTACTGCATAAAGTTTAATGAGCTCTCGAAAAATGACCAAAATCTGCGACTTATGCTTTTTGCCATGGCCAAGTTCGGCTATTTTTCTAAATTTTTGTACATAATCTCCGAAAAAGTACAAGTAACAGGTAGATAGAGCAAACCTTATAGAACACAGAGTAATTTTTTCTTTTCTTTAGCTTGCTTCTCAGAGTTTCTACAATCACTTTCTCAAGGCCATCAAATTCCATATTTAGTCAAGTCAAACCTCACAGAACAACAACCGGCAAGCGACTCGGGTGCCATTCGATGCAGCTTTTTCTCATCTTTCTAGCGGTTGTTTTTTATTTCTGATTCATCAAGTTTTCCGGGATAAAATCATCATAATACAACTTTTCCAAAGCACCCCAAGGTGTACCCGAAATTTCCAAAAGTGGCTAACCCGAAGCGGTGAATGCTCGTTTGGTTTGTAAAATTGTTGCCAAACCATAATCCATCTTTGTAAGTTTCAAAATCCGAAGATTTGTTGGTGTTTAATGCACTTTTGTCTGAGACGAGCCTGCTAAAATTCGGTGGTTCCATCAAAAAATCTGTACAAAAATTATGACGAGCTCTGGAAAGTAGAAAAAAATTGTTCTGTTTCCTGTAGGGTTTGCTCCATCCATTCATTACTTGGGCTCCTTCTGAGATTTGTTATAAAATTTTAGAAAAATTGTGAAACTTGGCCATCTCAAAAAGCATAGGTCGCAGATTTCGACTCTTTTCTGGAGCTCATTGACTCTATTGCAATAGCTTCATAACCATTAGAAAGAGAATGAAATGCTGCATTAAATGCTACCAGAATCTCTCAAATATCTTTGTTCTGCGAGATGTGGCAGACGTTTGAAAAAAGCGACGTTACTTTCGGAACGACCTAATATTATGTACTAGATGGCAAACCCGGCTCCGCCCGGGGCCAAACTTTGCACACATACACTTCGGGGCAGGGAGCGTGTCATAGTCCACTTTTCGTTATCGATCGATGTACGAAAAGTAGCCTATGACACGCTCCCTGCCCCGAAGTATATGTGTGCCAAGTTTGGTCCAAATCGGTTCAGAAATAAAAATTTCTATTCCGCACATACGTACAGACAGACAGACAGACAGACAGACAGACA